AACTAGCAAATCAATATAGCCAATGATAATTTATAGTAGCTTGTCCATCATTTGATCCGAAATACGAATTCAGTTGATGTATGCCCCTATAAATGAGCTGTATTCCTAAAATCTGAGAATGTAAAATAAATGATGCATTTAGTACTCTCAACATGTCGTTGGATTATAATTAATGTGTGTATCCGTATACCATGGCATGTCCTTTCTATAGGGAAACAGTCAAAACGCTAACTTACAAACGCGTGATATTCAGAAATAAACCGACTGTGGATGAATGAAGTACATGGTTTTGAACGTAAAGCAGAATTCTAGAAATTTCCACACTAAGGACAGGTCAATTTATTAATATATATAAAACTCTGTGGTTTTCTAGAAGCGACAGCCACATAATGTCCAATTGTACCATGCTGTCTGTATTGATGAGCCTGGCACATGACCCCTGCAATCACATGAGACGTAAACATAACTTTGGGATACCACCACATGTGTATCATACTTGTGAATAATTGCTGATGACAGAAATGATAATCGTCGGACTTATAATTACTTTTAATGTATGAAGTATTTAGACGATTAAGATGTTATAGGAATTTTTGCCAAAGCTTTTTTTTTGGCTGGAACCAGAGGTCTCAAAGGCTATAGGGCATTAAATGTCTTAACGATTGTAATAAGTGAATATCATCCTAAACCACATCTAGATTAGGTCTATATTAGATATTGAAGAAACACGCAACTCTCCAATATAAAGCTTTCACGCTTGTCAAGTAAATTGCGAACTGGCCAGATTGCCAAATTAATATTACGTCTCATTAGGTAGTGAAACTGGAAAATGAAGATAGTTATTCATTGGTTCCACCTCACGCGCACTTCACTACATGATGCGGACACCTAGCACCAAGCACGATGTGACCGATTTCGGTGCGCATGTGTCTAGTACGAATCAAATAGGGGAAGGCTTGGGTGCTTATAGGTCAAGATGGAGCCAATATTGATACGTTAATGTATTCACTATAATTATTTATCAACTAACATCTATGAGATGTGGGTGTTGCTATAGCATTGTTGTACTACATGGAAATATGGATAAGTAATAATATTGAATAATTGTTAAAAAAATAGTCTTTAAAAAACTCCAACGGAATAAGAGAAAGGAGGTAAGTTAAAAATACAAAGTAATAGGCAACAGGTATCTTTCATAAAGTGACTTAACGAGCTAGTATTTATAGTAAAGGACAGTTGATACTCACAGTCATGCCAAAAATGATGACCTTTGTTCAGTTGCACGAAATAACATAAAGTCGAGTTAAGTCATTAATGTTCACGTTAAAGTAGCTCTTCACAGGAAGATTACTTCCGATATAAAAAGCTGTTTATGTTTGAACAATAAAATGTAAATAAACACTTACAACCACTATCAAATACTAAAATAAGATGATGATAACTAAAGGTAACATCTAAACAAAAAAAAACAATCTAAAAAATAAAACTAAGTAAACAACGATTAAACTTCGGATAATTTTAATGTCTATAGACTTTCCTGTGAAGATCATTGCGACACCAAAAAAAGCATATGCGCCTGAGTACATGAGAGTGCGAAACGCAAATGTAGCACTAACAAAAATTACATGTGAGTTTTATTCACCTTGTCAGGTTATTCTCATAGACTTAGAAATAAACACATAATCATAATTTATTTATCTTTAGGGATTGTATAAAGTTCGTGATGCTGTGTTTAAAACCGCTTTACAAACGATCTCACAATGTCATATTATAATCATATGTGATACACCTTCGACACTGCAAGGTTTGTAAAAAACGTATGTGGAGGCATATATCTATCATAGGGTTATTCACACTTTGAGCAGACGCAGTTGTCAATGCGTTCGTGGAAACTTAATGTGGTACACAACACGTGGTGAGAACCATCTATCACAAGTCGTGTGACGTCGTACCGGTTTGAATGTTCTAATTTTCCTCCATTAACGATATAATGCTGAGAAAATCCACGTTAATTTCTGCTAATTTCCCTCCCGAATTAAAACGCCTTTTCATGAAAGGCAAGAGTGCCTAAAAATTAAAGTTCATCTTTTTTTATTCTTCGGCACGAAGCGATGTGCCAGTAAGAGCATACTACGCGCCGACTTATCCGTTCTGTAGAAAGTGGCGGACAACTGAATTATTTCAACTCTCCGAGTCCTGCTTCAGTCACTGATTTCCCCGCATCGTATTTATCCGTTATTCTGCGCCTTTAAAGTGGTAATGTTGACGTCCAATAACCGCTATGTGTGTCACACTGCCTGTGGAAACGCGTGCCGCGAATACACTATTACAGCGAGCACAGTCCGTTAACATACCTTACAATAGAGCTGTGTCAATCGATCCTGCATCTGTTTCTGATCTTTTTAGTTCGAACCAAAAGCAAATGTGGTTCTAATTCACCAGTCTATCGTGATAAACGCAACAAAAGTAAAAATGACTCACAAGCCTGCGATGAAGAACGTAATATTTCTTATCTTAAATCTTAGGATCGTTTAATCTCTAGCTATGGCTTGTAATATTACACTATATCAAATTCATTTATATATTTTTTGCCAGGTGGCATTAAAACACATAAAATACATGCATGCATTTATAACAACCTAATATAATAAATTTGATATGCTATACTATACCGTACATAGTTTACCGGACAGCTCTACAAGTTAGGCTAAAGTTACAGGACGGTCCCTGAAGTAGTCGATCTAAGGTTCATGAAGTTATTCAGGACCTGCCAGTGCGTTACACGTTATATTACTGCCATTGTTTGGTTCGTAATCAAGTCAAGCTGACCACCGATTGAACGTGCGGGCAGTGAGTGACGAACTCAAGGCCGCCTGCTCCTATTATACCAAACACAAAATCCATTAGATTCGTGAACCTTCGTCACTATACATCGACGATGAACCGCGTACTGCATAACGCGTCACTGCATGTCTGTTAGACCGGTTAGACTTTTTTAGGTCCCGACCATTATGGCCCTTGTGTGGTGTTCCCCTAAATAGCTTAGTAGGTAACGGGCTTGCCTGCTGTCTTATAGAATGCTGGACGTAAAACTCGAAACATAGACTCTCGTTTGGTAGAATATGGAGTCATCCTTTGTGGACTTTCGATCTCGTGTTATCATCATTTTTTTGAAATGTTGGAATTGAAGGCAGAACGGCAGCAGAAGTTTTCAATGAACAGTGGCGTTGCCCTCAGTAAGTATTCAAGCCTGCTACTGTGTTTAAAGCCTGTGTTTACTGCAATCCAATGGTTCTTGAAGACCGAGGCCTTTGTCCGGCTTGGCTATTGGGGATTTTCCACAATGAAATCATCATATCATACTAATCGAATGTTTTGCAATGCGATTCCGAGTTTCGGCGTTTTTTTTTACTAGAATTCGTGCTGTTACTCTCTCATTTGAGGATTTCCCGCGTTTGTTGGATGAGCATGCTATGTTCCGCTGTACTTTTGACCACAGTCCTTTGTATTTCAGTGAAAAAATTGAAATGATAGCAATCGAACGAAACACAGACAATAATACGTTTACAACGGAGTGACACACTTGCTCCTATTAAGTTCGGAAATTGTAATAGAACACTATCCAAACCCTCATAGCAGTTCACCATTTTCAAGCTTGCAATAGTACCAAAGTTCTGAGAAACGAAGGGCCCAGAAAGATCTCTGCTGTCTATGATATATGCCCAAGTCGTTAAGTTAAGCGATATGTGTGTGATCCGTAAGAAAGCGCTTGTCAGAAAAGCGCCTGATACCGACTGTGCCAACAGCACATAAGTGTGGCAAAATTTTGCCAGCCATACCAAACGTTTCCTGTTGCGAATTCGGTTTTTCACATTATGGCTTTTACCACACAGGGAAATGTTACGACAACACAGAGCGCTAAATAGATTGGCCGATTATGGTCAGCCTGATGGCGACTTAAAAACGCTCGCGAGCAAAAGGAGGCGAGAGCCCAGGAGCGCACTGAGACCGGCACCATTCGACAATAGAAAGCAAACTTAATCGGACAACGACGACGTCGACGCCGCCTAGAGATTCTACTGCTGTTGCTGACATGCTGACGCCTATTGTGTGGAGCGGTTGCCTGTTCTTTTCTACTTCGATCTCCGTAAGCGACTGCGCGACTGGCGCGGGCGTCTCCGATCAGCTACCCTAGGTAACATTGACACAGTAATGCCACGACTAGGCTTTTTTTAACAGTCACCTGACCACGTTCTAAATCGCGGGTTAAGAAATGGCTTCAATCAACGAATTCGTTTGAGACGAATACGAAGTGGCCTCCTGATCTGGCAGTTCAGTGGAAGTATTGCGGAATCTAGAGCAACATCTGTTTCTATTATTGGTAAGCCAACTTTTCATTTCTCCTTTCTTTCGTTTCTGTCGACAACTGTGCTAAGCCAAATACTTTGTTTTCACAGAAACTCAAGGTAGTGGTCTCAAGAAGTCTGAATTATCACTTTCTGTTGTGCAGTCTCAAATGACAGTGTATTTTTGTAATTTTTACACATTCGGTGGTATTTCTAATTACTATGAATTAAATATAGTGGTTAATCAAATGAGGTGGCATTACGATTGTGTGATAATAAATACGACAAAGTTGAGGTTCGGGCTCTGGATAATACATTTCTGCATTACGAGTTTAATATCTAACTAATATAAAATACAAATCGGCTTTCTACTGCTCCTTTATGCTACGGTTTATTGCATTTATAGTGTAGAGATGAATTTCCTCGCAACTACTTTAGAGTAGCGTACGTATTTAAGCAAAACGCCCCTGTTATCTCTAAGTGAAAAAAATTCTGTTAGTTACTAATCCATAATTAAAATATGCGTTCGATCATGTATAGTAAGTGTGCAATATTTACTAAGTGAATTAAGTACTATGTAATATGGTTTTCCTGCTATAGAGAACTGGAATTTCCGGATCTTTATTCGATAATTAATATCATGCGTAATTTCTATCCTTGGGGACTAACCGTACTGTAAAGAGACTGCACCTACAGTTGCTGCAGAAGGGCTGAGTCATTCCGAACGTCCGATTACGATGAAGTACACAAAGAGGGGCAAAGCGAAATTAACCAAACGAGAAAAGGATGAACGCCGCAAGGACGTCGAAGATATGCAACGTAAAATGCAAACAATTGTCCTTCCAACAATAATTGGAGTTGCGATATTTATTGTCGCATTTATTTTCCTCAAAACCCAAAAGCCGACCTATTATTCATGAGATTAGCAGAAAAGAAACGTGTCTGTTTATCAGAATCGAATTTCCAAGATATTCTGAATCTTAATAAGTTGCAAATGTGGTAGTGTAACAGATCTTATAGCTTATATGGATAAGGGGCAGAATTGAAGAGGGCGAACATATAGTTAACACAAAAGGACAGTTTGCTTTTCTGGCGCTCGATTAATTGCATGGTCGTAAATCATAATAAAAGAACCGCACTAGTAATACATCAACAAAGTGACTGCTATTCATTTATGTGAACTTAGGGACTTTTTAGCACACAAACAAAAACACTATTTCAGGGCATATTCTACACGATCTCAGGTAAAACAAATAGAGAATGCAGCTTTTAAATACTACGAATAATAGAGCTCGCTATTACAAGGCAACCTAGTGTCGCTTGCTGTTATACACGAAGTATTATAGTTTATTATTTATACAGCCACAAGAAAAGTCTGGAAAAAAGGTCTTCTGGGTTAGTCTGGTATTCATTTTACTGTAAATTGATTATAAAGTATTCAAAATCTGCTGGCGTATTATAGACAGTCATTGCCATGTTTTGGCTAGACTTAACCCACAAAACGGAGACTGATATTGTGTTTTTAATGCAAGTAAAAATTGGCGTATGATGTGGTGAAGGATAATACCTGTGCAATTTTTAACTTGTTAAACTAAAGTTAGTTTTTCAAGAAAAATGTGACCAATATTACAACATGAAACTCATTTGCACAGGTTTAACGTGAAAGTAAATTACATTGTATTGTTGAAACAATCCTGAACGACTACTCTCTCTCACAGTATGCCTCTTGGCCAGCTATTTAGTTCCAAACGCAGTGCAAAGGTTCGGGTTATCCCACGCGAAATTTTTCTTCTTTTCGTTCACTCTTTCACTTGTTGCAAGCCCGCAACACTAACCTAGGTTTCAACCCCGAACCCTATTTCCACTATATAGAGGCGCTGCTACATATAACACAAAATATTGGTTTAGTCATTGAAACCTGTCAGAATAAAAACAGACCACGTTTTATGCGAAATAGTTTTATCAATACATAATTTTGTTGTGCAAGTTCTTTTTAATTATAACACCTTTTCAGTGAGTTTTCACTTTGCGTCTTTAATGAGCCCAAAATCTTTCTCAGAAAAAGTTCAGTTTTACAAACGGAGAATCTACATAAATACGGGTAGCGCATCGATGACCTCGTGTATTAAGTTTTTTTCCAAAAAACTAGCATACCCAAGCAGCCTGCGAAATCTCTTGTTAAAGTAAACGCAAGTTGTTCGGAACAAAACTTGCAATGGTTATTAAATACAAGTGCTTAGACGGCTTCCATTTTATCTACTTCTGATAATGCTTTTGTCAATCTAAAACGCTATGTTGCTGAAATAACTAGCTAACTACTACTTAATGAAACACCTGGTGATTACTTCAGAAATAAGCGAGTTTGTACTTATATTGTATATTACTTACATTTAATAAATTCGAAAGATGGACCAGCTGTCTGGATATAGTCATCACTACGACCTTTTTTTATTTTAGTAAATATTAAAAGCTTTAAAAAACTGAAATGTAAACTAATTGCATCCTTAAACAAAACCCTTTTGCTCGTTCTAGCTCAAGCGCTTAGTTCTCGGGAATGTGCTTAGTATCTAGAATACCTATTGACCTAGCTGCAACCTCTGAAAAGCAAACAACAAATAAGACCTAAGTATACCTTACTAATCAATAGAGTAAGCACAATGGATCGAAGTATAATATTAAAGAACAGATGTACTTATTTTATTAACAAAATTTACATCTATACATCATGTGCACAATTTTTCAGTTGTTCGGCTCTTGTTTATTATTAAATATTCCATACAAGTGCGAGCATATAAATACGAGCAATAAACTTGGGATAAGCTGTACCCTACTTTCAAGTGAGCCGTAACAAAATTATATCTCATAGCATACTGATAAAACGCCTCCCCACATTCACTATAGTTTCTATTACACAAAAATAAATAACATTGATTTAAATATCCCATTATACCCATTAGTTAGCAAAGCGTTTTTCAAAGTTGTAATTATACTGTTACAATCAACAATAGACTTATAGATATATATATTTCAGATACCCCAATGCATACACACCGCTTAAGTACCAACCTCCCCTCTTGCTTCCTCAGCTGTTTGCAGTTGTATAATTTGTTGGTGGCCATTTTCGTCTTCTAGCAACACCTGTTGCCCCGGCTGCAGTCGAAGAGTTGTGTGTGATCCGTCGCTCATAATGACCCGATATACGTCGGGCCCTAATTCAGGTTGAGGGTACACACCGGGATCCAGCTCGGATGCCAAACAAACATCAGCTGGCATGTTCGTGATTTCGACTTCTTCGTCAAGGCCTTTTACGTCCACTGTAGTTGCATCACCAACTTGGAGCGCTTCGTCTGTTATTTCCATTTCAGTTGCTTCGATAAGCTCTTCTTCATCGATGCCCCCCGCACGGGCTCTAAACACGTTCGAGCGCAAACGAACAGTACCGCTAGTCGCGACAGCACTTGTCGTCACGGATCCTTGTGAGCCATCGGTGGCTTCCTGTGGGTATTCAATGGCAGCTGTAGCATTTTGGATCAGATGTTTGAGCTCCTCAGTTTGACGCCTTTTCTGCAGAATGTTAGCCATTTTATGAGGAACAGGTCCCAAAAGCTCGGTTGCTTTCTCTGGCGCCTCTTTGTGAAAGCGGAGTAGGTGCTGCCATGTTTTGGCCCGACTAACAAAACCTTTATTGCAGCGCGGACAGAAAAGTTTATAAGCGAACGTGTGTTTAACAATTTCATGATCAGAGCACGAAGCGACTGTGTGAAAGCTTGCGTCACAGTAACGGCACTTATGGGGCCTTTCATCAGTGTGCAAACGCAAATGGTACGGCAGATGGTGTGGTTTGAAGGCTTTACTGCACATCGAGCACCGGTAGAACTCTTTGCCAGGATCATTATGAAAAACGATACGATGTGACATGAGGGTGGCTTCCAGATCAAACTGCCTGCCGCAAATCTCGCAAGCGAATACCGCATCGGTCTGCATTCTCCGCTCCCGACGGTGCACCAGACCTTCCTCCATATTACGTTTTTCTATGTGCTGCCGTTGAAGACGGTACAGCGATGTCTTAAATGGGTTATGCTTAAGCATATGCTTCAACAGCTCTTTGTAGCTCTCAGTGCCCTGGTCGCATATGTCACAAATGTACAACAACGGATTTTTGTCATGATTTCGGTTAACATGGTCCAACATGAATGGCTCGTTCTCGAACATTTTGTTACAGTGCGCACATACGACGCCATCTCCTCGATTGTGGTGCTTCACATGCGTGTCGATCGCTTCGCGATTATCACGGCTGAAAGTTCTGTTGCAAAATTGGCATATCCACCATCGATCTTGCGGCCCGTGCCGTTCACCGATGTGAGCTTGAATACCGGCTAAAGTGTCGTTACCAACTCCGCAGGCAGGACAGCGGAACGGTTTTTCATTTTCAATGTGCTCTTTTTGCCTGTGTACCTGCATGCCTTTTGAACTATATGATCGGAAATCACACAACGTGCATTGGATCTCCTCCATGCCAAGTCGTTCCAGCTCCTGTGGCGACAATGAATCTCTATGCTTTGTTACTACATGCCAATCCCGATGTTTTTCGGATTGGTACTTTTGACCACATACACCACAAGAGTGTTCTTTAATAATTCCATGAACTTCTCTCATGTGTCGGTCCCGATGTAAACCCATCGAAAAGCTCTTATTACACACCTGACACTTTTTGGGAAATTTCGGATTACACTTTTTTTCATGATTTAATAAAGCTTCTGGCGAAACAAAACGTTTTGAGCACTTGATGCATTCAGGCGCCTCAACAACCTGAACGCTATGGTTGTTGGACATGTGCACCTCGAGAGCCTGTGCATTTGTGAAGCGCACTCGTCGATTAATCTTCAGGCAAACCGGACAGTGAAGTTTGTCTTGCGACTCCTCAGCTGTATTATCGTCTTGCGATGCTTTCGCTTCTTCAATTTGGGTCACTTCTTTTCTTTTTCGCTTAACACCACTCCGTGTTTCAGACCGTTGAGGAGATTCCACTATTTCCAGCTTCGTTGTGATAGCTTTTTTTTCGGTAAGCTCATCGGCAACTTCGCCTTCGCTAGCAGTCTTCGCTTGCACTGTTTCAGGCTGTTGAGGCTTCTCCTGACGTGGCTCCTGCTGTCGTTGTGGCTGAGTACTCAAAACAATCTGCTCAAAATCTTTATAAATTGCTTTGAAGGAGACATCACTGTTAGTCAAAATATCTTCGTTTCCATCAATTTCGAGAACGGTCGTTCTGACGCGACTTGCTTTTGGCGACGTGTGAGACCGTACTACTGTTGTTTTTCCACTCTCTGCTGTATGGCGAGAAAGGATTCTGCTTGCTAGCTGTAGACAACCCTCATAGAAGGATCCAGGGACTGTATTCCAACAACTGACAGTTAGCTGATTCGCCGCACCGACCTGCAATGCAAAAATTACAACGCAATTTCAAATTGCAATCATTCGCAATATCCTCCTTTAAACAGCTGGTAGAGCCTGTATGAAAATCAGCAGTCACTCGTTTACACACGCATAAATCCTTGATCTCAGAACGTATTCACGGAATGATATTGAGACTTGAAAAAGCCAATAACCAATATGTTCTTTCCCGTTTACGTATACTGACCGATTATGAAAATCCCTTGTAATCCTGACAAAATGTTTACACAACGGACTGATTATTTTATCCTTTGAAAAGACTGCATCAATAAACCCTATAAAGTAACTAAGGCATTAAATAGTAAACGCACTACCTGTTGAACAATGGTTGCAGAATGCCGATTCCAGAAAACGGTCATTTCGACCTGATTCTCACTTGGTTGCTTCGAATTTAAATGTAGCTGGTATAGCTGCCCTCCGACTTCGGCACGGCCTCTGTAACAGAAGTATGCTATTGACCGACAGAAGTTTTTATCACAAAATAGATTAGGGATAATTGCTCTGACAAAAAATACAGAAGCACTAGTGAACGTATAACTTGAATTAAAAAGAAATCAAGTAATAAGTTTTCTTTGTTAAACTACATAAAAACTAAATGTGTCTACTAGGTATTAAATTTACTGCGAGAAACAATACAAACATAGATAGAACACCACTTTACCGGCGAATGTTGCTACGTGAGCAGCTGTTTGTGTTTTTGTGCAGTAGGATCTCCTTAGCCGAATCACACTGAAGAGAACATTCACTACAAGAAAACTTCTTCGATTCCGTTGCATTACTTTGATGAGAATTCCGTTCTAAATGGTTTTGCTGCTGAAGTTGCGGCAAACTTTGTCGAAGAGGTTTACGGCCAATATGTAGCACCTGGTAATAGCAAATGTGATATTGATAAATTAATCAAAGATTAAGTTAATTATTATGCTAAATAAATGTCCATGACCCCAAAAAATCTCGAATAGCTTCAAATGTGCCATCGACTGAAAAAAAAAAGAGACAATCCCAATGAAACATCAAGCGGGTGTTTCAAAAACAAAATGGGTATGGGACTAACAGGAGAAAAAGTTATATTGGATCAGGCTCGTAAGAGAATTTTTAATTGTTAAATCTATACGTAAACATGCAATCTGTTCATATTTCATTTGACACCTTGGCATTATTATAAGCTAAATGTTTGCTAAAAACTGCAAACTACTCTTTTTCAGGAGCCACATCAAGCTCCGATCAATACCCCAATCATGACAGGCCCCTAGATACGACTACTTCTATGTGTCGAGTCTTACGTCCAATATTGCCGTTAGGCTCTTCATCGGACGACTGGCTCCCAGCACGAAATAAAGGCTGTCTATGCTCGTGTTCGAGCCTACACAACAATGTGTCCCTAAGATTAGCAGGCAAATACATTTCCCGCTAAGCTATGGCGGGGACTTAAAGCTATCTGGTGGAAGATAACTTTTCCATCTTTTGAACGTTCCGTTCTAACCTAAATGTTGCCAATATTCATAATAATATATTGATTATAAAATGAAAATCCACGAAGTACTGATAGTAATTCTAATTTGCGCATAAAGAATAGCGCTTGTTAACGGGTCTAAAAGTAAAATATGTTCATACGTGATTGATTAACCGATAAATACTTCTAAACGGTACAACGGATGATACGATTATTACCTTAATACTTATAAAAATTATATTAAAAACATTACAAAGGAACGCAATGTAAGGACCAATTTGCAAACACTTCGATAATAGGTTTTCAAAAAACCACAGATTTGAATTCTGAATTTTATATTCTAATCTGTTTGAATATAATAATCTGTTTATCTCTCAATTTATTTTTTGATATATGCATGTCTTTAAACAAATATGTTCAATGGCTAGTTGGCATGTATACGTACAGACTTGAATAATAATGTTTAGTATATTTGTGCATTGCATTGTAACGCTCCGTAGCTTACTTTCGTCACAGGATCGACTCGAATGGAGTCCGCCTTAGGAACATTCTCCAGATCATTTTCGCACTCTCCGACAACGAGAGTGATCACTTCCCCTTTAGCCAAGCCCTTAGGAAATTCCAGCTTTGCCGAAAACGGCAAAAGGTTCGAATTGATTCTGACAATCATAGCTGCAGCTGGATCTTCCAATTAACACGCATCCTGAGTCTAAACCACTTCCTCACAACGACATTTGCTGCACTTTAACGGGTTCAAGTATTCACCTGAATCACTACTGTCTCCATATAAAAATGAAAATAATGAAATGAATTATGAAGTCGCCATTAAACTCTAACTTTCAACGAACTCCTATCAAATATTTGAGTTTGTTTACGTTCTGTCGAACATGACCGGATATATTGCGGTCAGGAGAGAGCGGAGCGATACACAATATGGCGCCAGCAACTAGATCGCGCAGAGTTACAAGGCGCTATTTAGCTTGATTAAAAAAGTTATTGTGAATTCGTTTGTTGTCTATGGTAGAAGCAATCAAACAAATTGTTATCATAGGCCAGCATCTTAGGCGAATCGGTTGAGAGGTATACTTAGGTGCAAGAGCTGATGTTTGCTATTCTAAGTGACATTTGGAATGAACCGAACGTACAGCCGTCTTTGCGTACGAATAATCGCATTTGCATTTTTGCATGTATATGATAAGGACCTAAGTTAATAAGTATATTACGACTGGGAATAAATTCACTGTCGAAGAAACTGATCTTACTTTCAAGGAGTAGCAATACGAAAGTGTGATATACCAAGATGCTAATACATACTGAATGATTCCTAAAAATTTAAGCTATAACTTTTGTATATAGTAGTTCATTTCACACATGTTCTCCCTTCGTCGCTACGTGCGCTCTTTAGGCATTTTCATGATCAATTTGCAAAGATAAGATGCCTAAGAAAACCGTATAGGGTATGCAGGTAACAAGCTGCAAACCTACGTTATGAAGCGGTCCCATTTATATTGTCAAGCACTAGAACTGTCGATTTTGGTGATTGCACCAAACCTCCAAAATCGCTGCAAAAAAGCCATTGCTATAAATAAATATACCAATTACTTAAAAACAGAAAGTCTATGTCTTAGCACGTGTCAAGACCCTGGTAATGCGTTTCTAAGTCTGTTTCATAGAAGTGCATTTAGAAAAAGGGTCCATGCTTTCCTTTTAAAATTTTAGAATTAATAGTTGGACTCCTAAGAGACTCTTCTTATAAAACATTCTCTAAGAAATGCCTCGCTGGATTCTTCAATTGAAATTTATTCACCAATAGAGGCCCCTATATTCTGAATAAGAAACGTGATCAACCTGATATTTTCTTTGTCCTCTTAGGAAAAACTCCAAATTCGCTCCAAAACGCTCTCTGTGCAAGTCGTCTGGCTGCAACGACAAAGTTTGACAGGTTATTTTGTCAAAATATTTTTTCCCACTGGTTAGAGAAACGACAAAAGTATAGAAGTGCCATCAAAGGTGCCTCAGTTTGCGAAAGTATCTGCGGGGAACTCAAAAGTGGCAATAAACAGAATGTCAGAAAAGGGGACGGGAGCAGGCAAAGCGGCATCAGCGGCCAGTAAGGGAACGGCAAATAAGCAGAGAAGCAGGAGGAAATCAGAACTAAACGACAAGTCCGAGTCGGACTCTTCGTTCGGTAGGCTCGTCGGTGAGTAATCTGACATTGTCAGAGAGGCCTCCTTCGGAGGATCGGATAAAATGCGATAAATTCGGGTATCAGTCACGACCTTTCAAGGAAAATCTGCCCCAGGCCGGGTGGATGTAAGTTTCAGGTATTCATTAGACACCAGATAATATTCGAGTTCCTTGCTAGTGATTGTTGATCATAGCTTACTTGTGTATTTATAGGTGGATAAATTGTACAACAGGTAAACTTTGAATTGAGAGAAACATTCTGCAGGTTGTACGTCGTAAGGTAAAACGCATAACATAATCTCTATGAAAAGTTAGGAACCACCGAAACGCTCTAACATTCATAAGTGCTCGTGAGTCTTACAGCAGTCGTGTGATATAAGTCATTTGAGCCAACGCGCTCTGTCTGATCCTCGAAATGTTATGAGGCTTTCACACCAATTTTGATTCAAGTATTTTTTCTTGGATTTTTCAATGAACTGTCTCATGTCCTAACAATTAGTTCTCTTGGGCGCTAAGAAAATTTGGTATTTAATCTAGCCTACCTCTATTTTGGCTGGGTTTCCTCCAGATAGGAGCATGTTTGCGGAAGCCAAGATCATATCAGGTGTGTCTACAAAATCGTCAATCAGTATCACTGGTTTAGATAACATATGGGATTGCGCGGTTGCTGATAATCTTCCTGAGGATACTAAACATTTCTACGACCTCTGGGCCAATAACTATGAGGAGGACATGCGTTCCATGCAGTATCGCGCTCCTGAAATCCTCGCAGAATACATTATTAATACTCTCCGAATTGACCGAAACGCAAAGATACTTGACGCGGGGTGTGGAACAGGTCTGCTTGGTGAGGAGCTTAGGAAACGTGGTAAGCAACTATTTTAACTATTGTGGTCACCAAGTGGTGTGGTACCAATACCTTCATCGACGCAAATTAGGTTTAAATAAAATATGAGGCTTCGTAGACTTAGTAATTGTTAGTAGATCAATTTTTTTACTAAAAGATCTCCATGGGATTGATATTGGAAAGATACTGATCACAAAAGAGCTTGCAACAGAGTTTTTTAATCTATTAAATAGAGTCAACTTCACTAACCAGCAAAAACGGAGACGCATCGTACGCTATCGTTCAGTTTAGTTAAGAATTTACCGTTAAAAATGGTAAATGTTTTTTCATTCGATTTGGCTGTTTTCAGGGTTCACTCATATGGACGGGGTAGATTGCAGCCATTGTATGCTCGACTTGGCGTTACCAAAAGCGGTCTATAGAAAAACTGAAGTGGTTCATGTCTTGCCCAGCATGACAGAGCCACCCATACATGTCGATTATCGCTACGAATGCATTGCACTCTGCGATGCATTTCAGCCTGGTCACATTACACCTGGTTGTTTGCCGAAGTTGGCTGCCATGCTTACCGATAAGGGCGTGATTGCCTTCTGCCACAGAAAGCTCTCCTCCGACAACCTTCGAAAGAGTGTGTTTGGCCCAGCAGATTTTGCTGCTGCTGTGGCAGCGTCTGGAGTAACACTTAAAGAGAGCAAAGATGTTGAAGGTTATCGAAGAATGCCCCCTACCAAGGGCCAGCTTGGCTATTTTGCTAAGTGAGCTTGCCGTATACACACGTCAGCACAAGGCTCAATGGACGATCTATCCAATTAGCTTGGCTCGTTTTCCGTCGAGAAATGAAGTATCTTTTCAGACGGACGAGTGCAGCTTACACAACCGGTTATACACGGCCCTGTTGTACAGCAACACGAATGTTATTTTCTACTCTGACTCAACAGATTATGTCAGACTGTGAGTGCAGTTTTGTGACTTGCAAATGTTATTTAATGTTAAAAAATATTTTGTCTTTATTTGCTGTAATCCTTAATTGACTCTTACTTACTACTTGATTAAAATCTCATTAGCTAACAGCGCAATCGACCCTGATAAAATGCCAGAAATCTCAGTACTTATTCCGCACTATGTCCGCGCCTTCTCTTACCTGTTTCGCCCTAACGTAAAATAAAAAAAAGTTATGCATAATCGTCAGCCATTATTTTAATTCTTTCACAAATTGCCCCCAGGTGGAAGCACCAGTCACGGATATTCGAACACGCTCATAGTGAGTGGGGCACGTCTTGTGGTTAATGTTTGGATAGATTTCTGTTAAACAACCTCGGATTGAACTCTTTAGAAACATATTTGAAAAAGTAATTTAGGAAAAAGAAGGTATCGATGAACCTGAAATAAAGATCAAAGCACATTGCTTGTTAAATCGCGTGTATTTTAGTCTAAAATAATATTCAATTTGACCTGTATGACCCTGTTCAAAATTAAAGTGGCGCATAAATTTTGCTGAATCTGGGTTATTCTCTATAATATGGATCAGCACAACGAACGATTAGCAGAGCGAGCTCGAGTGGTTTATTTTAACTGGAGGACTCCATAGCGCGCACGGCAACCCATGGAATTGTGACCTGTAGCACATCAGGGATTTTTGCCTTAGAAGATTGTCTTAGGGCTGAGAAAAAGTTCAGAGGGGCGGTATGCAAAAGATGTGTGATCGTCAATTTTCTTAAGTCTTTGCTATGTGTGTTTTATTGGAATTAACTAAACACTATCTGATTTAACATCAATTCTGCTGAGCTAGTGCAATGATGATCCGGCAAAAAACGTGATTGCACTAATTTGTTTCTGGGTTTGTTTTAAGGTGGCTGAAAGATATTGACTTCCCATAAGTGTGAATGGTTTTTCATGGCCATGCGCAGCGCAGCGAATTTTCTCTGCAGTAGTAATTTAAATAAACCAGTTCTAGCCTATAAAGCTAGCATAAAAAGTCTAGTAATCTTTTCAGGTTTACCCCATCAACTCCGCTAACTTAACCTTGAATACCTTCACGTGAAATAACGAGTAAGTGCTAATTAACCGCGCGAGAAAACTATTGTTACAGTAATTGAATGCCCAAGCATAATGCGTCGTATTTAGCCTCAAATGATTGCGTATGAATAAGTTTAACAAGTGTTTACCGATTTCCATTTCATATTAACTGTGCCACTGAAACTCAAAAAGGTATTTCAGGTAGGATTTCGAACTTTATATGGCATGCCAGTCACAACAAACTCGAATCAAGTAGTAAAGTACTCGTAACAATTTCCTATTTTATAATGATTAAACCATACATTATACTAGTCAATTGCATATAGCTATTATACCACTATACGAGGTTGTCTGGTCTTGTATAATGTGTGGAGCGTCGGCGTGAAAATTGAAAAAGGAAGAGGGAGAACCAGTAGCTGTTACTTGATAGGAAAGAATGGAGAGGGCTGAGAAGGAAGAGGAGCGACTAGGCCGCCAATTGTTGGAGGTCGATAGAGATCCGTTGTTACATAGTAGACGATGATATACATTTCGGAAGATAGCAGACGACACATACATGTATCGGCGAAAAGCGGTGTGATATGCGGGGAAGCCTGGTGGTGATCTGACTGACATGATAATGTTAAATAATGATAATAATAAACATTATTTGTCCGATGAAAAACGTTCCCGTAGATAGTTTTTACGGTGCTTTTTTTGGCGACGATCGTCGCCAAAAATGTCGCGATGTGTCGTTTGTCGGATCCCTCTACCTATAGTCTTTCCATTTACCAACACCGTTGTGCCCTCAGTTATACCAGTAATTTATTAGCTAATTGTCATTTGTTGTGCAATAACAGTTTCTTTCCGTCTTTGCTAGATGCCGTAACAGTCGACCCCGACACCCGTCCCCAGCCCAATTTCTATTCCCCTTTTCGGCCATTCGCTCCTCGAATAGCGACTACTCTCTTCTATCCCTTACATTGCGCAGTTCCGTATAGTGATGTCTAGTAATCATATTCATGTATCAATTAGGAAGCGAAAAGGTAAAACTATAGCTAATTAAAAATAACGTTGCATGACTTTATGCACATTTTTTTTATTTATGCACATCTGTTTAATGGCCGTTCAATGGAATTTATGTACTGTTAGTTTTGTACTGAGACTTGGTCAAGATTATGGGCCTAGTGGGTTAATTTTGTTGGTTACAAGATCATGGAATGTTTCGCGGTCAACTTTTAACAGTTTTGAACTCGTGCAAGTTCAAGTGGAAAAATTAGATGAATTGAAGGGCGAATTCCCCTCTCAAGAATTGTACGAAGACGATCATTTACGTGTAGCCTTTCGTGCCTAGCAAACGGTTGAGAGTTGTGAGTCTCTACGTGCCGTTCGCAACAACCACCTCCGCTACTGGTTACGTTCTGCGGAGATGGCCGAATCATATTCTGCAATTCGATACAATGTCGTTTTTAGATATGAACTCTGACGACAAAAATCTAAGCTAAATAATCTAGCATTTACGTGCATAGGCAAAATTTCGTTATAATAAAAAACTAAAACTTATTTGTGAAATATTTATGCACAAATCTACTGGAAACATTAGTTGATATAACTAACTTACGGCAATTCTCCTGGAAGTCTTTCCACCTTGGCCAAGACGGCGAGCCAATACGCTTCGGCACTCTCGGTTACAGACGACATGGGAGAGTGTCACTGCGGTGGGCTAGCCGAGGTTCGTGTAGAAAATCCATGCAAAAAGAGCGTTTATTTGTAGCGCAAAAACCAACTGTTATTCCCAGTTTCTTCTTTAGGGACAGAATATTATAGTGCAAAAGTTATGAAAAAGGTAGCAAAAATATGCATATACTATTTTTGGCTTACATATGTATACAACATTTTTAATCATGATTCCACTAAGTGTGTACCTAGATGCTTGCAAACGTTCCGTAATTGTATTGACCAAGGAGGATTGGGAACTCTGAAGGTCTGTTCAGAGGGAAACATACCAAAACAAGAATACCAGTAATAAAGAATAGTACTCCAAATACGTCAGTGTCGTTGTCCCACTCGGATCGTACGAATGAACCAAAAATCCATTGGAGACTAAGTAAGAACGACATTATTGTCATTTGAGAGATATTCAGTCCTGCATTAGCAGTCAACTGGCTATTGTCGGTCCGATGATGGTGATGATATAAAAGCAGAACACTGATCACTGTTGTGGTCAGAAGCGATGTCTGAAAGAACCTGATTTTTATCCATTCGAACATAATGGTAGTCTAAAAGTTATCATTTTAGTATGTGAAGCCAATGGTAATATAAGCAAGCGTATTGCTCTCGGGTATCTCAGAAGCAGTTTTTCCATCCGACACATAAGGATTTATCACTCATGCATTTCTCTAATGATATCAACATGCTTCACTACTGCTTTGCCGGTCAGAGTTTTTTCTATAACAAACTATTAGTATACCAATAAAACTAAATGGGTGTGTTTTGGAGACGTGGGTTGTCTCGGAGCTGCTCGGTACTCGAGCGAGAGAGCACATGCATGCCCAGGCGGAAGCGAAAAGCAATGTGTAAGCAAAGGAAGCCATGTGAGGAACAACACCCAAAAAGTATGCGTGCTATTGCCTCGGATAGTGACTGAGTGAAGTCGATAACGAGAAGCGTTAAAACGAGTGGGAGTTAGCATGTAAAATCTAATATTTCAACTAAATTCGAGAACGCTCCGTGATTGTTGATATAAATTGCATTTATTTTCATTATTGACTTTGCAGGCTTCTATTGGCCTTAACGTCAGGCTTCCTACACTATTACTATATAAAACTATTATTACAGCCAAATCAGTCTTATTTCAAACTATTTCTCATTTACAATATACAAGAGCGATTGTTAGCTTGTTTTGCCGCAGCTTAAGTTCTTAACTTAGTTTGGCTCATAGTTGGTGCCACTTCTTATTAAGTTCAAGAGCGGCTTAATAAACTTAAATTATAACTTATCTCTACGTGTATACGCTATCTGTGTTACATCGTTACGTCTATGCTATGTCGTCGTGGCGTTTATACAAAAATATTTTGAGAGTTGGAACATGTTCAACGACCATCAAAGAAATGATTTATCTGAAACTTCAGGTACTTACGACAGCAGGTGCCAACATATAGATCGTGGAACCTCTGTCCACTAAGGTAGAGCACAACTGTTTCTCGTGAGGATCGTCTCGGCGTTCTGAGTAGACTTCAACTCCAAGGGTCACGTAAACCAGCGAAATAAAGTATGCGATACCGAGATAATACATAGACTGCAAGGATAGCATTAATGATTGCTTAAGTAGCGTATTCATTTTTGCCAGGTATATATATATATATATATATATATATATATACCTACATGTATATATAGATAATATATTTGATTATTTTTTTGCAGTGACGATTGGCTAGCCTTTTGGGGATCTTATGCATCCGCCTCCGGCCAAAAATGTTATTGCAGCAATATATTTACTGCGTCGATTTCTTTCGGGCGGGCTACTAGACAAAACACCTTAAATACAGAAGAATTAGGCGTTTGGGCTAACCGCGATTGCGGCAGCTTCTTGGGTAACACAGCTTTGAATCTGTAATGTTGTTTAGATAAGGTTGCGCTTACAGCCGTAGTTTTTACTGTGAAAGCGATGGCCAAAATCAGTGCGAGAGTGAAGGAATCAGGTGCTTCCGACAGACGTGTGGGCAGGCGCTTCGTAACCGCGCGGATCATTTGTTTCGTCAATTCGTTCGCTTGCAGTGGCCTGTAGCAGCGTTCATATGATGTATACTGGAAAGTATGAGATGTTGACGGACGCACCAGCCCCAATAGTGGCCATGACAACAGCGTTTATGGCGGCGTGCCGGTTAGGGAAAGCGAACAGACCCTTTTCCTACGTTATAGTTCGCCGTCGTGATCATCAATTGCTGACTGCTACGAAAATCTGGCAGAGGATGTCAGACGACCTCGACTAAGTCACCAAATGAGATCGGATTCGTCGTAATGAAGTTTGCAAAGGGATGACCTCGCTGTTTTCTCTATAATGATGGGAAAGTCGTAGAGTTGTATTCAAGTTCCGGCTGTTCCATGAGAGCCCGCTTGGCTCACCCTGGAAGTCTCTTGTTTTTATTCAGTCGAGTAAACTCTTCCGTTGGGCCGAATTTCTCTGGGAAGAATAGGTTGTTTAATTTCTGTTTAAAAGCGTTCTATCCGTCCTCTATGGTTACAGCCTCCAGGTCATACCAATTTAAGGTCGGGCCACACAGATACGGCCTCATCCGTCGCACGAACTTGTGACCATTGTCGGTCTTTGACTAAGAGTATCACTTCCCTCGACCGTTTAACATAAAGACCAAGGATCCAATTTCCTAGATTGTTCAGTTTTTAAAATTGGCGTTGACGGGTTGTACTCATCTTCCATTTGCTACTCACCTTAGGAATGGTTGCCTGAATGAAATGAATTGCTTCGACCGTTGTGAGGAGAAGAGCGCTTACAAACACAAAATGGATATGAACCTTCAATATTGTATGACAAAATTTATACTGAAAAGAAATCCAAAATATGAGCTAGTTAGAGAAAGATTATGTAATAACGAGAGCAAACAAACCATTTTCGGCACATATGGCCCAATTTTGATGATTTTAAGCCATTGTGACAGGTTTTAACTTTAACGCAAGCTCATGAAATATATGATTTATACGGGAAAAGGGAACAGTGCAATTACTTTAATTTTAAAGGGACCCTGATATATATAGCACATGATTCTATTCATATCGGAAATACTGTGCCGCTTGTTTTCTACGTATATCGTCCATTAATTATAGATATGATATAGATAGACAGACGAAGTAGAAAATAACCTTTTATGAAAAGATTTGAAAATAAAATATAATAGTAGTGCACGAATGTACGTGTATTGTAGGGGGTGTAAACGATTCCAATTTCCCGCGTCGTTTCCACTGCACTGGAGAATGCACGGTATTCTTCAACCCGGTGACCAAACTATAATCTAAGGTAATACATTAGATCTTCAATGTATGAAATACCTTTCATAACATGGCTTCATGTCTAGTCGTAAGCTTAGGCTAAAATGAAACAAAAAATCGCTTTCAAATAACGGGCGGTGTTCCAAGTGTCATTCCATACTGTTTAAATTAGCGGTTACGCTTGTAGAGGAAAGGACCTCTAATTCTCGCTCTGATAAATCAAACACGAGGATCTTATTATGGCCTTGCCTTGCTTGCTATAGTCATAGATGGTATGTTGTCAATTAAATGTAATCCGACCAATGCAACAGTCCAGTGTTAAGAAACAATAAAATAGACATACCATAAAAAAAGCCAAAAGTATCTGCCCGATGAGGAGCATCGCGAACTGGTTCATATGAAGAACATGGCGAGTAACCGTGCTCCACCTAGAACATCATTTAATATTAGAGTCAATTTGAGTATTCATCTTGAGCAGCATGAACATTTTCATCTTCAAGGATTTTCGTTATGATAATGCACCATTTTAAACCCACTTTGTAAGGGTTTCTAAGCTGTTACGCCAAAGTTCTGCCGTCCACGAAGGCTACCTTATAACTATATTTCTTCTAAAGAATTCGCTTTTGTATATATCGTGTCGTTATTACGATAAAAGGTTTAACACTGATTGAATGAGTAAACGAGCACTTGATAAAGAAAACGAAACTTCTGTAACGGAGCAGCTTTCGAGTTTGCTGTTAACAATTTGGGAAAAGCTTCTACGATGATTTCGTAGTTTGATAAGCACGCGGTCCATGCGATTTATCTAAGCACTGCAACTACTGCATTTAAGAATAAACATCGATTAGTTCTGGAGCATCTGTTGGGCAGTCATCCAATGAGTTTACACATTATTACAACTGATAAATTTACAATAGAAAACAATTTCACTATAATCTCATTAAACTGTAGTTGACAGATAATCGCATTGGGTTTGGTGATTACCAGTATAAAGAACGGTCTTAAATTAGGCTGAAATAAAGGGAAGCAACTTACTTTAAATGTGATATGACCCACATGGAAAAGCTCAAGCAGATAATGTTCCACGGAATTAGGCAAAGCATCGTTGCTTCCAAAATCTAAAAAGTTCGAGAAGATAAAATAAGCCTTAGAACTACTTTGTTATTATTATTACTACTGAATATCATTATCATCTGTATTCCTTATTCAGCGAATATATAGCTACCTTAATTTAATTACGGAAATGCCGAAAAATAGCTTCTTTTTTATTATGTTATCGTTACTTTTGAGTCGCCTATTATCGTGTGCAGGGTAAAATATCAAAATTTACATAAGTTATATTTTAATCATTCCACAACGAAAAGCTTCGCATAGCGGGGCTGTACTGAAAATTAATTAAACGTCTGAATTGTATTTTACGCTCAAATCCTCATCAGTGTCATTTTTGCCCTTGCTCCTGGCAGTGGGATGAACAGCGGTTCCCTGTGACGAAGTAATTCTCCCTGATTCGAGCGATGTCCAGTTGGTGCTCTGTTTCAGGAATAACAATTAGATGTTATTAGCCTTTTGTGAAGAAAAAATAGACTCATGGAGCTTGTTTCCATGATTTTGCAATGAATGCAGGCATTTCTTGGCAAAAACTCTTTTTTTCCTTTATATAAGAGGGAATGTAACTGGAAGGCTTCTTTCTCATTTGAACTCACCCTTCTTTATTGATTGGTTTAGAGCGACATTAGGACCAAATCATAAATTTCCAATGCAGTTGGAGTACCAAAAGTAAATATTAAAGAAAAAACGTAATTTTGTTAGAAGTAGTTTATTGGAGATATTTCTAGGACCTCAAGGGTTATTAGAATTACCTCGACACCCTCGCTCTCTATTAGTCTGTATGCAGATCGTTTTTCTTTAACTTCCTGCTTTATTTTAGTTTTGTTCAAGCTGTTTTTCTTAGGTAACGCACACACAAAGAATCTTCGAGTAATGCAACGGTGCCTTCTGCGAATAGCTTGATTTTCAATGGCCCCAACAAGGCGTATGAACTGTTTCTCTCTGAAAGAATAACATTCATAATAATCTTTCAATTATTTTGGCATAAATAGAGCGTTAGCAACAGCCAGTACTTATCGAATTCATTCCAGTATTGTTAAGCTGCCTAAAGCAATGCTAAACGACATTAGTAGAGACCAAACTCGAAACTTTTACTTAATATACAATCTGCTACAAGGCAACACCAAGGCAAAGAGAGATGTTGTCTTGAGGCTTTACTAGCTTAATTACTAATAAACAGACGCATTATACTTGATGTATTTCCTTCTCGTTGGAAAACCTATAGAAGATAGAGAGACAGTGTCCTATTCTAATTATACTTTCAATATAAATGCTGACACGCATGCATATTGGCGAAAATCAAATGGAACTACGTGACTTAACCTTCCTGTAGCAGAAGGAAGTGTTGTATTTGATGCTAGCTGATTTCTTTTTTCGTTGCAGGCTCTTTTTCTAATCTCCCGTATCTTTTCATATGTAGGACTGCGTAATTGAAGACCCTGGGCAATACAAAGCGCTACTGCTTCTTGCTGATTGAGCTTCTCTGAAGCTACAACAACAAAAACAGCGCCATCATTATTGAGATAAATCTTGGTAGAAAGATCTGTAAGCATGGTAACAATGAAATTCATCATAATCATTTTTCTCTTGTTCGATGATACTTTTCTCAAAAATCTTGTCTCGATTGGTAAAGTTCCTTGTAGAAACTTCAGTAACGCACACCAATTCAATTCGAAAGCCACCCGTAAAGTTACAATGTCTCTATAGAACAACGACGCACAATCATGTCACTTATGGTATTGTAAGTGATGTCAAAAACTAAACCTTTGGGCAACGCACTGTAGAAAACGTTTAAATGTTAGAAACAGACATTATTCGTTAGACGCTAAAAAAGACAATATATAGTCCTTTATTTAAACCTTTAGAGCACTAGTTTTCACGTAGAGCGTGGATTTATTCGTTTAATTTAATTGTAGCTCTACAAAGAAACACAAAACAAAAAAGGCTTTTACTATTTTAAGTCGATAGCTAGAATAGTGTATAATTCCGCAGTTTAAAATTTATTTACCGAAAAGTTGGTATTCTAAAATTATATAAATTGCTAAAAACGTCAAGATATATCCATTGGACTCTATTGTATTTCACAGTCCATTTTAGGTACAGAGGTTTTTGAAAAAAAAACCTGCTCTAATATTTGAACAAATCTCAGTAGCAAAAAAATCTTATACGGTATTGATAATTTAAACATAATTTTCGCTCTAACGTATTTTTGCGCCACCGCATTTTTACTGTAACAACACGTACCGGTCACATAGGCATCAGTCAGATGCAAAAACAAGTAAAGGAAAGAAACCAGATGTCCTACGGCCGCTAGCATTTCGGTAAGATCGCTTCTCGCCGTTGCTAGAGAAACTACTTGGTCTTGATATTAATGAATGGCCACGGTGTGGTGTATTTTTAGGTCATCATCAAACACGCCTCTATCTAGTCGTGAACGTCGCCTAAGCCCTTCGCTAAATCTCTAAGAGTGGTTAATGCAATTTAGTGCAGCTATAAAGATTATTGGTTTTGATGACAATTAGATCTTTTATCGTCAGCGAAAGAAAATTTGAACCATTCTCTACTTTTTTGCATTTTAGATAACGTAAATTCTATATCTTTTGTTATAAGGCTATGCGAGCTCTACTAAATAAAGGAACAGTTGGCATGCTTAATACTAGTAATTGATTTTTAGCATGATGCGTTGAGTGACTGAACACGGTTGCTGCCTGTTTCAGCCAGAAAGCTGACGGCGAAAATAAGTAGAGTCAAACAAGTCTAAGAAGCAAGGACCCCATCAGTTTATATTATTCTTTTTGCTGACCCGAATCGGGAACTTTATTGTTCCACAATCGGTTGGTAATCTTATGCAATTCTGGTAGGTTATAGTTAAGCTGAATGAATAATGGTTTAATTTACTACAAAAGAACCTAAAGCCCTAATCTAGCTAAATTTGTAATTGTTATTTGCGACCCGATCCACAGAAGTCGACAACACAAATTCTTTCTTACTTTTTTTGTCCACATTTAATATAATTGTAAGTTTAATCAAACATTTTTTGGCATGAGGATGGAGCAACGAGCAGTATAAAATCGATCGCGGAAAAGTTTACAGACAGCTAAATGAACTAACAATGAAAGGTAGTCTGAGTTAAGCTTCAGACAGTGCGAATTAAACGAATCATAAAAAAGAAAAGACTTTCTATACATTTATATATTTTAACAACGTTGCTCTGAAACAATTCTAGATGGAAAAACTTTACCAATGCATTAAAACTAAAGATCCATTTACTTATTTTACTGGATAGAGCACAAACATAGTCGGTGCCTATCTATGTGGTAACCAACTCTACAGACGCAACGATAAAACTCAGTGTTCTCAGAAGAAGCACAAGACATTAAATGTATTTGGCTAACTAAAGCTCTGCTACATCACAAGCAGTGCGCGTGCTATCACTATCGTAGTCAATATCGTATTAAAAATGTTTAATTAATTAAAAAGAACCAAATTTGTTCGAAATTTTTTTGAAAAATAATATATGTATATATATATATATATATATTTTTTTTTTCTTTACGTATACGGGGTGTCTCAAAAATGTATACAGAGTTGGATTAGTCATAGTGTCAGCTTTTATTTCCATATAGTTATTGTTTAAATTGCAAAATAATCTATATAAAATTTGATAATATGTAAAAAGAGACATTTCTCCTTACTTAAACCAGACTTTACCAAACTTTTCATTTGATGTTCTGGCGCATTCTCGTACTATCGTGGTTTTTAAATCTTCCAGTGTCGTCGACTTTCCGAGGAAGGCTCATCCTGTCAACGGATAGGGTACTTCAATAAATTCTTGCGCCCAACTTATCTGTCCAGAAATTTCCGTCGCGAAGTCATCTTACAACATTGTGATCCTATGTATATGCTTCGTGTTTTTTAAAAGAAATTCTCGCTCTTTACCAAAGTTCTTCCAAACGAGTAGTAAAACAGAACACTGTACAGTCGAAAAAATGGCCAATCAAATTAGGCTACCTAGAAATGTCCCATATTGTCAAGTTTGATCGAAGACAGCTCCGCACTCAGACCAAAAAGCTGGCTTACTTTACTTGCTAGTTATAGTAGCAGTTTAAAATGTGCTTTAGTAATAGTATTACATATGCGATAATTTAAACCTTCATCGCAAGAAAAGTTTACGCAGAAAATTGGTTCGGCTGTGGAGATATTGGTAATTTTGTCTTTTGGTCAAATTTAGCAACTGGCGAAACTTCTAAGTAGTCTTATTTGATTGGCCAGTGTATATATATATATATATATATATATATATATATATATATATATATATATATACTGAGTTCAATACCCACGTAACTCACCTGCAAAGAAATGCATTTTTGCAACCCACGAAGTGATGTATCTATGTCTAAGAAGTGATGCGAAATTTCCTTGGATTCCAAAGAGGTTTAGGTAACGGAAATTTTGCATACCTTTGTGTCAGCTAGTGAGTTGAAGAGTTTTCTGGGTCTAGATCCTGTTATAGGTACTTCACACAAATTGGGCAAGCCCGTTCTATACCTTGGTCAACACAAAGGACTTCGTTCGGAACGCCGACTACGACAAGGGCCGTCGGTTGTTCCAACTCAAAATCACGGAAGAACCTGTCTTGCGCTAATTTCTAATTGCGTTAATAAGCGCAGGATCTAAACAGAAGGTGATAGACGGATGCCAGCGGGACCTAACTGAAGGCAGTGCTGGCTTTGGGGTGTCGCTACCGTTAGCTGCCGTCTGATTGATACTCAGAATTGCTACTCTTCTAAGACCTAGTGCTTGGCGGTAGTATAAATCGTTGAAAAATTCAGATCGCATTTTACGGGCGACACTTCAAGGTTGTTACTGACAGCACTATACAGAATTATCTAGGAAAAAGCGAACCTTTGCTCTGTTACCGCGTTGTACTCTGCCATTACAGGACTATGACTTTCACGCTACCCACAGGAAGGTTTCCGCCAACGCCAATGCCAAGGCGAACGCTTTGTCGCTTTTTACCGTGCCGCCGCTATAGAGCGGCAACCTGAGTTCAACAAGGTTTGAAGGTACCCAAAATAAGGACTCGTACAAGACGAGTGATATGTCAGAAGTCGCAGCATGCGCGCTCAAATATGGTTTGGTTTATTGGATCAAAAAGGAGGGATCTCTGCTTCACGTTCCATTCTATCAAGTGAAAGGAGTCATCAGCCTATGTTACTCGAGAGGACGGCGAACCATGTAGGTTTCAGAAAGATGCTGTAATACGTTAAAGAGCGTTTCCTTATTGGGTTTGGTAATGCGAAATCTGCCAGCGACGCAACCGATACCCAAAGTATCGTGAAACGGGCTCCGAAACGTCTTTTTGGAGTAGGCTTCATGTGTTCCCTCGGCAGCGAAACTTATCACGTCTCAATCGACTAGTGCACCTATTTTGTCCACCTCGTGCTGGTCAGAGGAGATGTCTAGCAGAGTGGCGCTAAAAACTGCACGGTGCTCCGTCGGGAACCTCGGCGTTGTCGTGACGAATCACGTGACCTCTTTCGCCTCACGACGAGACTACCTAAGGCCGCACCATATTGGATACATCAAAACGGCTTTTGGACACTCACGACAAAATGGGTTAGACGAACGTATGATTTAAACGACCACGCAAAACCTAGGGTCTTGGTATCGGAAAGGACACAGCTCGTTCCAGAAGCTGCTGTCCTGGGTAGCGTTTTCGCTCAACACATCTATAAGTTAGAATCTGGGGAGGACACCACTCGAATCGCTTTTCGATATTCGGACCATGCTGTCTGGCGAGCCTTTCGAGTGCGGAAACATGGGGAGGCAAAATGCCGCAGAACTACTTTGGAACGTGCATGAAAGCTCGGCTTGAACAAGAAACATCTGCGACCTGAAAGTTCGAGGACGCCACATAACAGTAATAATTAAAATGGAACGGGAAAGCCTGGAATTCTTCCAGAAGCTACAGTTACGTTGTTACGGACCTTTTACTATCACGAGTCGGGTGGACCCACAAAGCCATCGGGCTGCGACGGCCCGCGGCCCGCAACAGGCCGTGAATGGAAAGAATATATGCCGTTATGTTTGGAAACGTGTTACAGTAGCGTGGCCTCCTGTAGAGATATGCGCCGCGAATAAACAATAGCGTGAGTAATAAATAATAGTAAATTAATTATTAAATAATAGTATAATTCCTAAGTACATACCAGATTTGGACGTAAGGGGCTACTCCAAGCCGAATGAATTGCAGTTCTTCAATAAGGGCTTTGGTGTGTATATATATATATATATATATATATATATCGCTTTCTTCTCGTTGTAAGGTCTAGACGACGCGGAAAGTTTAGGGCCCAACTTGTGCAGAAAATGAAAAAAAAAGCTAAATACAAAATTATAGTTATTCTGTTCTCTTTCTGAAAATTATTAGTTTTTATTTTGAAAGATTTTATTTTAGATTACAAACCTGCTTACCCTTACTGATTCGTACACAAGCAAGTCTTATTGTATGGCGCTAATTGAGTTACGCATTTAAGAACCTCAACTTTACTAAAAAAAAGTTGACATTTTCGTTCGAAGAATAATGTACTTAAACCTTTCATGTTACTCGTATATAATTCGTAACAGGCCAATTCAATATACTTCTACGATATGTATAAGCATGATGTGCGGAACAGTTTATTTTTGCAAATGCAGCTTAAAATTTCAAAAACTATTCGTACGTTTATTATTAACGAGAAAAAGTCTATTTACACATATCCGAATAATTTTATTTATTGTCTAATGTTTTAAGTGTAAGTATAATATACACGCACATTTGAGTAAGAAGGCCACGATACAGTGCTCCTGGTAGTCCGTTTTTAAATAAACATAGTTCTGTTTATTTTCTTAAGAAAAATTGTGTGTCTTTCTGGTTTCTATCTATCTTTTTCTGCTGTAGTATCGATCGGGACTTCTGCTTCGGCTTCGCTTCCTTTCGTATCGATCCCTGTCACCGCGTTCTCTGTCCCCTCGATCTCCATAAGTTCTCTCTCTCTCACGTGGTCGATCTTTCTCTCTTTCACGATCCCTCCGCTGATCCCGCTCGTATCGATCCCGGTCCCTGTCCTTTTCCTTTTCATATTCTCTGTCGGTCCTCCGATCGCCACGATCTCGCTCCCGTTCACGATCACTCCTGTGATGATGTCCACCTCGATGGTAATCACCTCCTCCACCACTCCCGCCATCCTTTCGCGACGACGATCGTTGCTGCTGTTGGCGTTCGCGGCTTCTGTCTCGACTGCGACTTCGCTTTCGGCGGTCCGTCTCTCGATGACCGTCTCTTTGACTGTCGTAACCTATCGCCTGGCGGCGGTCTCGATCCCGGTCACGTTCGCGTTCCTTCTCACTGTTGTTATTATTGTTGTTGTTATGAGCGTTGTCCTTTCGGCGATCTCGTCGATCTTGCGCCCTGTCATCGTTACCTTGTGCAGTATTATCTCGATCTCTCTGCTGACGACGACTTGCAATTTTCTGCATTTCAATTTCCATTGCTGCAGCCTCCTCCTCGATTTCATCAGCGTCGTCGTCATCGTCATCGTCGTTATCGTCATCGAGTAAAGATACGCGTGGTTCAAGAACTGATGACTCCTCTAATACATGACGTTTTTGCAACCTATAAGAGCAAAGCAAAACGGGAAGACAATGGAAAACCTTTACAAAAAGGGATAATGGTCTACTCTGGACGTCTTTTACCGCCCGCTACTGCAAACGTTGATACAGTTAAAAACAGCGGCTCAGAACTACACCTATTGCCAACACAGTTGCTGTCAATGCGTTTGCATAAATTTCCAAAATCACCTAAATGTTAATCATTCTATGCATGATGGACACAGAAAGTAAAGTGTGTGAACTGATAATAACTTTTACAGCGGGTAGTAGCAATTACAAATGAAATCTGTTTGTACAAGTGATTCCATTGAAAGCAAACTGAAGCAAATCTATTAGTGAAATAGTTGAACTGTATGAGATACGCCGTACGTTCATCTTTTACTTTGGACAGTTACCTTGGAAGGATGATGTCGCACGCTCTTTCTTCGGTGAGAAGCTCATCAACAAACTGATCCATTGTATTCAAAACGAAAGTGCCCTCACGGTTTTGAAACCGAAGCTTCCTATAGTCATTATAAAGAGGTTCCAAATACTTATAGATGTCCAGTGCTGACGCTGCAAACAGCAGGTATTAAAATTAAAAATCGATTTCGATTCAACGGTGATTTATTTTAATATTCATTACAAATTTCAACAGGTTAAAAAAGTATAAATCAATATATATACCAGAAGAATAAAGATTGGTTTCTCAATGCCGCTTCATTACCTAAAATAGCCTCCGAGAAAAATCGTTTTAAAATAATGTCGTAACGTTCGCTTTTTCGTAGCACTACCGGTTGTAACCTTGATCGCAGCCACATATGAAGTATTGTCAAGTATTAAAATAAACCGTGTTCTTCTATCGTGACTTCTACTTATTCATAAACATTCATCAAGATCAATAATTTAATGGTTCCAGAAATGCACCTGTCAATCGCAAATATATAGCAGCGAGAGCCCTGATATATTTAAAGTCTTCTTGCCGAAGAAACTCAATCACGATATCTTTTTCCGGTTGAATTTGCAGCATTTTTAGCAAAAGACACATAAACGGGGTCGGCTTGATATTTCCACTGTACACGCCCCCGCAGTATCGTAGTTCCATTCCCTGAAAATATAAGAAAACGACGGAAAGCCATTTAATCCTCTTCGTATACCTGCTAATGATAAGACTGTCAGTGTAGCCAAGCCACACTGCTCAAACTTTGAAGGAAGTGCGTTTAGACTTCATAAATATGACCTCGGAGACCGCGCAATAAACCACGTCCAATGGGCAATAAGCAGCACGGTAATTTAATCCTGAACGGGGTGTCCTTCGCCACCGATATCTCACATTAGAGCAGAATTGTCAGTACCAATCTGCAAGTTTGTTTCAACGGACAGAATATCAGTGCTGATGGTATTACGTGGTTTGACGCATCAAATGTTTTTTCAAATTACTGACTATCAATCTTTATGATTAGAAACCGTTTCTGAAAATGTAAGCATACTGCAGACTTTGAATGTTTGATGTAAGTCTAAGTAACGCGGATAATAGTTAAACAAATGCGCGCTGGTACATGCGTATAAAGAAAGTCAACTGAAGAGATGATGAAAAAGGATTGCATGCGGAAAAACCTCTAACCAAATCACTGCCAATACACATTAAACTTTTAGAGCCACAGAATTGAAAAAATGGTAAGATAACAGGATATTAAAAGAAACGAATCCTTATTAAAATTACGTAGTTACCTTTTTGAGCAATTTGCAAATATATATACATAGAGTTACGCGAATAATTTCAACAACGGAAAACTAAAAGACATAGGCGAATAAGATACCAACCTTGTCAACGATTAATTCTGCGGTGACGGCAAAACATTCTTCTTTCCAATATTTGCTCTCGTAAATTCTCGAGCGTATGATTTTTTCGACAAGATACTGCGGATTGGTTCCATGAACCGTATGTGCATCTTTCACCGTTCGATTTGCCATCTCGACTTGACTATGCTACAGGAGATGACTTCCCTCGCACCCACTTCAGTTTGCGACTGAAACAAATACGCAATGTTGGTGATCACACCGATTACTGCTTACTGTCTAGTACTACTACTATTACTACTGGTAGAAATAATAGTAATAACGATAGCTATAATAATAGTAACAATACTCATATAACAGCAATAATCGTCTTCGTGAAAAGTTAGATTACAGGTGCTCCATGTTTTTCAAAAGATAATCAAATTAAGATGACGTAACATGAAATTCTTCTTTCGAGATTCTTTGGTGCTCTGAAGTCTTTTATTCCAATCTAGTATACTTGTAGCTTTCATCTTATAATATTGAAGATGTATCTTTAACGCGTGAACGATGTTTGTCCAAAAGTCTCAGGTCCATCTTGAGTCAAACTAATCAAACAGAGTTTTTTTTTTATAGGTATTCTTATAGTTATACGATATATTAAGGCCCTTTAAAACTGCTAGTGGACTTGAACTGTATTGTTTGGTTGATGTATTCGGCAACTCTCACCCTCTCAATTTCTATGGCAACAGCATTTAAAATTAGAATTGAATAAGGCTCTTTTCCATGGAAAGCCCTCGACTTTCCTAGATGTGTCGCCCTTTTAGATTTGATGTGAGTTTAAAAAATATATAGAAATAAAATTCGAAAAAGAAAACTAATTTGGCTTTCTTACATATGCTTAACATTACCTTATTTCAATCAAAAAGATCGACAAAATCTTTGATATAAAGCGGCATAGGCTTATTATTAGGTTAGCAAGACCAATCGGAGCGCTGAAAGGCAAAATATATAGCCGAACGACAATAATAACGACAATAGAACTACAGCAAAGCAATATGTCTAGGGAGCAATGCAATAGGACGCAATACGAAAGAAAAACAATTGCAGACCATTTTAACTATGGTTTAAGAAGGCATTTGATTTGCGACTATAAAGAATATCTGTAAATGGACTCTATGCGGCACATGGCTACGATGCTATTTAGAACCAAAACATCGTTTGATTGTGTAGACAGAAAGAAGCACCAGCATAGATTTAATGATCTGTATAGTATTTCCTACCGTATTTACAGTTGTTGATGCAAACCTGTAGAAAACATCTCTCGCCTCGGATTATTAGACATGAAAATACATTTGACAAATAAACAATCGATGCAATCAAACAAAACTTACCTTATATTACAAAAAGTTCCGCAAATCTTCTATACAAACATTGCTGTACAGTGTCGAGACTTCCTCACACGGAAAAAATTCTCACAGCACGAACCGACAGTTATGCTCTTCGTTTGGAACGCACCTCTTCACATTGGTCCGAGTTTTAGCGATCTCCAGTTCCGTCGGATAGAAGCAACTGTCTTTGACATCTCATGTAGAAGAGAAGGAATTTAGCAAAAAGCTTCACGGTCAATGGTTCTGATTTCGTTACATATTCATTTTTCCTTTGCTTTACATCCGTGTGAGATTTCCGAGTGTTTAGAGTTGAAAAAATTGCGATGAAAACACAATTTTTATTGCCCATATGCCAACCACATTTTTTACATGCAAAATGATTAAAATGTTGCCTTGTTGCAAACCACTAAGAGCAGTGCGCAGAATGAACAGCTGGGCTGCAATGACGGAAATATATTTACAGTGTTTGGAGTTAAAATAAGTATTTCTAAATTACTTACACGAAAATAAGTTAGTACCAGTTGTTACTGCAAAGTTGTCCTAATTAACTTAGTGATTTAAGGCGTCGTTTTTATAGTTTGAAACCTACTTATATTCATTTTTCAGCAGAGAATTCGATGGAAATGTATTTGAATTCGTTTACTATATACTAGTCCTTGCGATTGTTAATGTCGTTTGGCCTAATTATATAATTTATTGGAAAACTTGGCTTTTTAAAAATTAATAATCAATCAGGCATCTATTTTTAAGCATAGTAAAATGTATAATATATACAAGATTTTTATTTTCACACGTCTCCTTACAGATCCATACCAGTAACAAATGATAGTTTGTAGCCCATAAAGCGGTTGATTTAGTGATAATGCGGGCAAGAATAGATGGATGTAGACTATTCCAAGAGCTTCTCAAAACTGGTTTTAACAAAATTTTACCGTACTGCCGTAAATATTTTAATAAGTACACGTAAAAATTCTGACACAATTATTTAAACAGTATTTGTTTGGTCCTACTAAGCAACAGACTCATGACACTTTGAAACCTCATCTTCCCTACTGCATAAATTACTATTACTTTCCGAAATCCGGAGTATACTTTTTAAAAATAAGTATTGCTTAATTTATACTAAGTGGTAATTACAAATTTGTTTATCATAAGGAATATATAAATTAAAATCAGTCCATAAATATGCGTAACGCACCAATTTATCACATAAAGCTCATGTAAAGCAAAATGTTATTAATTCTAAATTGGATGCCTGCAAAGCAAAACGGCAATATCAGTTACTGTTGCTGACGGCTCACTTGTAATTGTACTAATTAGATGAATATATATTATAAGCACAATACAAGTAAATTATAATAAGCCCTAAACTACTGTGATAAACGTAACGTAAGCGTTTGTTCAACATGTTTTCTTTTTGGAAACTGAGTTGTTAGCCATTAAAGACGCTAAAGCACGCCTAAGTATAGTCACATCGGCTGCTGAGAGAATACTTTCCCTATATAAACGCAGTAAATATTTTTCTGCGAATGCGTAAAAGTTCCGTTTACTCGATACTAGTCAATTAGAATATACATATGTATAGCCTTTAATCGGATTTTGTCAATCAATTGGTACATATCAGATTCTCCAATAAGTAAGCAATTGTAAGATTTTACGGTACCATCAAATTAAAAAAAAATGGCTGTTGCTTTTCTATTTCGCTTTTCTATATTTAGACGAGACTATTTTTGAAAAATGAACTTTAAGATTTTTGGACACTTGATCCTCATTTCTATGGGTAAGAAGATGAGCTACCTCTCCAAGAGGACGCGAGCCAGTCGCACAATTTTCTATCATTGTGAACGCTGCTTTAGGTGAGCAAAAGATATTTCATATAGAATATTTCCCTCTATTCAATATTTTTTTTCTTCTGAGCTGACGATGTAGTTCTGGAACCATATCCAGAAGAAGGTGGGCCAAAACAAGCACCATATTTGCAGTCAGCATTAAACACAGACGACAATAAATTGGACTGAAATGTCACCGGTAGCTAAAGAATGGCACGCCTTCGTTTGAGGCATCAGCCTCGGTGACTACTAAAGATTGAAGCCCATTAAGTACAAGCTTTGAAGTAGGATCGAAGATGGTAATGCCTTACGCTATTTACGAGCGAATCATATGCCAATCGATATCGTCTTTGAAATCGAAATCTTTGCTAATTCTGTTAATCCGTGTATCTTCCAACAGCTTCCAACTATAAGGTCAACTTTTTGGAAGAAAAAAAGTTCTAAAATCTTTGAAATACGCGTCGAAAAGTTTCAGTCATTTGAAAATTTTACATAGCATAATGTCAAACTTCAGTATTACTCTAGGCTCTAGTAGGCGAATAAGTAAGTAATCGATAGTTGAATGTGTGGGTGGATAGAAGGTAAGAGCCAATGAAGACTTCAATAAGTTGGCCTTATTACACTTATCACTCTAATTCATCTAAGATGCACATTTAGCGCGCCATTGTAACTATAGCAATAAACTATAGTTACAATGGCGCGCTTGTGCATATTTACAGGCCCTAATAGTTCATATCAATGCTCTTGTAAGTTTCCTGAATTAACAAGGTTCACTTATAAGTAATATATGTCAAGTCGTAAACAATTTTCTCCTTCGGCTAAAAGATCGTGAATTAATTTTATTTATTTATATAACGTAATAGAGAAGCGCATCTCGCGAAGTTACAGAATAACTTACATTTCTAGGGGGTTTGTGTTTATGGAGACAGATCGGTGTTCACAAGATAAACAATGTATTGAATTGTTGAAATGTACTGATTGTTTCTTAACCAAAATGAAAGCAAGTATTTTTTTTTATATAATCAAATAATATGATTAAACTCTTCGGCCGCCTTTTTTCATGATTCCGTTACTGTAAAACTTATAACGGTCTTTGCATTCCTCCATTGAAATCTAACTAACACCATTAAGGGAGTTCTGCAGAAAGAATAACGGACAACAAAACACATGACCTTTGATCAGGGTTTCGCCATAGATTGTTGAGCACATTGTTCTTCATTTGTTCTTATTTGTACATTAATGTTCTACGATATCCACTTTTCACTATATGTGACTAGGACTGAGTAGATCCGTTTCCGTCAGTTCGTGTGGCACCCAAACAGTAAGTTTATTGTTGGTGTATGTTCAATTCCTTAACGATGTCATAATCACTTACGAATCGACCTTGCTCATTTTCTACAGTAAATTGAGCAACTCTCTTCGAAGAGAAAGAATTTTTCACATCGAAATTTCTAGAATCGAAGAAACAAAAACGTTTCTTGATCTGTTTCTCCCGATAACGCATCTTAACCACAAACAGCAGAAAATTCATATGGCCTGAACCCCATTTGTACCTTTATAGCAATAGAATAATATTGTAAAATAGAAGATATGTTTTCAAAAATTTCATTCATGTTCAAGGTGCTCTATTTTAAATCTCCTTTCAACGAATTTTGCATATTTACTATTGCCAAACTATCCTAATATGGTACTAATGTTACATTATCAGCTTTCAAATGGTCCGTGACTTTAAAGTGATGTATTTAAAAAACGGGTTAATATATTTTCGATGACTTACTTGGACTAAATATTCAAAATACTTGTATTTTAAATTCCTTAGTGCAAAGGGGTTGTTGAAGAGCGCCGAAGGTAATGTTTGAACTGACTCTGTCACTGGAAAAATCAATCAGCGATGAAAAACAAAAACCTAACGAAATAGCTTGCCAAATCTCTTATGGCATGTTTTTAATGGTAGCAAATGCTATTTGATAGCAGGTCATTATCTTAGTAATAATACTATTAATAAGAGTTGTTTTGGCTGTAAGTTTCAGCAACCCTTGCGGCAGTATACCGTTCATGGCTTGTCGCTTACGTAATGATCTAACAGTCTAGCAGTTAGGTGGAAAAAACACAAAATTCATAATCGATTTAATAATTTTCAAAAAAATGGCAACTAAAAAAATCAATGCCTTTATTGTAACGTATTTGTATTGTATATTGTAATGTAAATAATGAAACCAGTTAGACATCATCTCTGCAGAAAGAAACGTACACATTCCAAAGAATGTCTGTGATTTTGTATATAGAAGATAATGCTTTGTAATAACTTATTGCTAACCTGGCTAAAGAAAAAACGTCTTTGCTTCGCCATAAATGTTTAATGGATTAATCGAATGCACTTTTATTAAGTAGAAATATATAAATTGTGTTTGACGTTTTCTCCTGCGCGGCGAGAAATCAGGTCTACATTCTATCACATCTAGAGGTTGTCATTAATTTGAGAATGGAGGGTTTGTGCTTCAACTAAGACACAGATCTACACCTTTCTTTCCGCATGCAAGACAGCGACAAAAAAATTCTGCTAATTCTTCTTATCTAGCTCTTTCTTATGTTATTGTGTCGTTTTAGGCCTACACATATTTGAAGCATTCTATTCGTGACCAGCAGAAAACCTGTTTATAAAGTAACGAGGAAAGCGTCGGGTCATAATTTGGGTGTTCTCATTCGAACTTTCGATTGGGTTTCTTCTTCCATAACAGGTGTCCTGGACTTCCTTCCAATGATGATATCCGAATGGCTATAAGGTGCCTCATGAGAGTCATGAGTTGGTCTAAGGGGGGCGAACAAAAATGGCGGAGCTCCTTGCGTTGAAGAATGGACCGAAGGAAGTGCTCCTGCTGCGTGATGATAATCGACCACGTGTCCATCTGAATCGTGCGGAAGAACTGGTACGAGGTCTGCTGGCGGGGGTTTAGACAATACAGCACCCCCAATTAACGGTGTGAGAAACGAAAATGGGCGATGGAAAAACCTTTGCGGTTTGACAATTTTGATCCCCAATTGTAGGCCGAACTGCTTTTGGATTTTTATGCCGAGAAGTTTAATCTGATCGTTAAAACAAAAGAGATTTAGGGTTAACGTTATATTTTGGGTAATACAGAACATTGTTACAAATATACGTGTTATCAAGAAAGCACAACCAAACTAACCTAGTTGAAGCTAGTTAATTTCTAACTTAAATATACCCCAGACATAAATTCGAAATGTAGATTTAATTTGAACAGGTATAGGTTCTTTACTACCCCTAGGCTTTTCTCCCGTATATATATATATATATATATATATATAGGAAAATTTCGCATACTAATCAGCTTCACATTCAACTATTTTACTGCAGTAGGAGCATACCTCAAAATGATCGTTCTATTGATTTAGTCCTCAGTACTAATATTTGATTTTATGCAGTTACAAAAGTTCAATAAATAGGAGTGCATGTTCTATCAAGCATTAATGAAACTCTAACATGCTTCCCTTACTCGCTTACATGAACTGAAGCTGTTTTTATTTTGCAAACAAATGGACCTTTACCTTACGTTACGATCCATTTTTGAAATATCATATAAAATTAAATATTATACATTATAATATTTTATAGATCCCATGAAACGTGCACATCAACTTTGTACTAACCTCCGGACTAAGGTCAATATTGATGTAAGGATTAGTGATAATGGCTGGTTTGCCTCCAGTGACCGGCACTGAGGAGATGTCTTCCTGTAGAAAAGGTTGGATGGGGTGTCGAATATTTCCTAACGTTATCGCTGGTAATTTACCAAAGGTTAGACTGCTGCTGAGGGCGTCTTTTGCTGGTTTGGCCGTACGAGGTCTTAGAGTCGTAGGCAAAGTAGTTGAGTCAGTGGTTTTAGTAGTCTTTATAGGTCCCGCTTCGTATACTAAACATTGAAAAATGTCAAAGTAAGAAGTACAAGATGTATATTTTCTTGCCAAACTACCTAAAATTTAAGTTAAAACTAACTTAGCGAGCTCATAACTACAAAAAAAAAGTCGTTTTACTAACATACATGCAACAAATAGTGTATTTGTGTGTTACGTACTGGCATGCATATATAAACTACTTCATATATAATTATGGCAGCAACGCAGTTAGACATATTACCGCGACCCAAGATATAGAACGGTTTTTGTGTCGAAGTTGGCTACAACTAAGAGAATTACATACTTAGTACATAATACATAATCTTATAAAGCTTAATACATAATCAAGTTTATTAGTTTTTTATGCTGTCAATGATGTTGAATTGTACATTTAGTTCTAACCTATTTCGAGAAGTGGAATTCGCACCATTTCTGATGAGACGCCGGCATTTTTACTTGACTTTGAAATCCTGTCAGATTTTTCGAGGGCATCAAGTAGATGAAGATATATGTAGTTCGAAATCAAACATGTACTAAATAAGATTGTTTTGAATGGAAACCGTTCGTACGTTAAGAATAGTCTATAAAATTTTTGTAAACGGAAAAAAAGGGATAACAATAAGTATCCTATATTTCGGCGAAAGTCACTTGTATGATCGAAATCCTCGTAAGCACAAATTTCAATTGAATGGAAAGACAACTGTAACACACGTACTTAAAACATAAAAATATGTTTAATTCTGCCTAAATAAAAGAATAAAGAGGTTACGTTACTCACAGCCGTTTTTTTTAATAGACCCTGGTAAAGGCCTATGACCCTGAATCTGAGGCCTGTGAAGTCCCGGCAACATGGGATCATACTCAGGAGGTGGCTTGTGGTTATTAGGTTGTCCATTATAAGACTCCATTCCATCGACGGGCTTAAGAAATGACTCATCCGAGTCCAAATGATCTCCATTCAAAGTTTCTGCATTTAAAATCGGTATGAGTGGCCTGCGTGTCGTCGTTGTCATAAGAAAAGAAGCTGATACCACAGAGTTGTCGGCAGAACGGTTATATAGTGGCGGCCGTATTTCAGACGAAACATTCTGCCAAGCAAACATTTCGCCTATTTAAACAATAAACTCTTCGACTTCCACTATGACGATTGCTACGATGGCTTTGAACTGATTACCGCTTGGCGGAATCCTCTAGTCGGACCAGGCCTTTATATTCAGGCAACGGTTTGTCTAACCTACTGAGATTGATTGTTTTTATAGTCATCATAGCTGCGATAGCACTGTATATATACCTATGTATGTGCTCTACACTCTGTAAAAATTCTGGGATACATTTCACAAATATTAACACAAAAAAAAATTGATCGTAAATTACGATACATCAGTTCTTACGTAGTTATCTATCTTTTACCGCACTTAGAACCAATTATATAGACTTTCAATACGGGACTTTAGGTATCATCTGGGTGTACTAATCGCAGTGATCCAGAATTTTTCACAAAAAGATATCCTATATGATATTGACGCTTTCTAATATCAAGACTTTGTAAAAAAACGGATGGGATAAACTAGATAAGCGACTGTATTACAATAGATTAACGTCGATCTAAAGGTTTTTATCACTGATTTATTTGTTGCAATATTTCTAATGTACCTTCCAGCGCCTGCATAGTTAGAAATTGTGCCATATTTATTCGATGTTCAACTTTTGATCTGTTTATACAAAACGCATAAATAGAGAATGATAACATTTGAGATTTTTTGATGCTAGCATACGGCGTTAACTTAAAAAGAGTCAATGAAATTAAATAGTGTACCTAATGAGTAACCTAACTTGGGAAAATTCCTTCATTTATTATTGGTGTCGTTAAAAACTGAAGAAAAGCAACATACACATCCACACACACACACACACACACACACACACACACACACACACACACACACACACACACACACACACACACAGAAACACACACACACACACACACACATCCATATATATATATAGGTTAAAACTTACGGTTCCTTTGGAATGCCCATGTTGCGTGTAAGAATGGCTCGAATATGGTCCCGATAATAATTCGTGATTTGCCGAACCATTTCCATAATAATAGTGAGTATTAAAGGAACTGTAAGGGTACTTTTTGATACCAGTATATATTGTAGCATACGAAGGAAGACCAGTCAGAAACGACTGCAGGCGGTGTAATAGCGTAGAATTCACTTCAGGGACGACCCAGTCAACGAAGGGTCGGCGTACGAACCGATTATAATACCCTGTAAAGGAACTGGATGTGCCGGCCCCGGAGGGCCAAGCCCAGCGGGGATTCTGCAAAGAAGATTCCCCACTGTTCCAAACGATCAAGCCGGATCCGAGGGTAACAGGAAATAATCAGTATATAGACTTAATGGAATTCACACTAGATAACAAAATAGCCACTTGAAATAATAGCGAATATACGCGTTCAACGATGTGAAAAGCAAACATAAGTTAGGGGTACATACAACAAAAGATCAGCGTTTTGTTAACAAGAAACATATTCGGCAAACAGCTTTGTAAATTCATTCAAACATTCAATCTATATATGCTCGAAATATCTCCAGCTGTTACAATATACAACTACGGACGTTACTCTTAATATATAAAAGTGCTGAGTTAAACATCACAATAAACAAATGACACGCGAAGGTAAAGATGAAGTTGTTTTCTTAATTTCTAATGTGTTATAATACAAAAGATATCAAATCGAGCCTTAGACATCTTGAATCTTCAAACACAGGCCGCGCACTATCTACAAGTCGCTGACGGAATTTAAATCAGCAACCCCTTGGTTTTGGAGCCAGAAGTTTAGCCGTACAGATTGTTCCCTACTCAGCCTCCTTCCCCTGACTCGACTTGGTCGAATCGGGAGAATAGGCGCTTAGCTTCACAGTGAGGCGTACCTTTGGCGACGGCCGATCGATGGTCGCGATGTAGCATCATAATACTCTATTAAGCGATAACTTGAACTTGATTGGGGCATCGTGCGACTATGTGGAATAAGGCGTATATCATTTGCACTAGCGTAATTGAGACTACTAACACTCATTACAGATAAAATGAAAACAAGCAAAGATAATCGCATTGCGCTCGATTGTACGTTGGAATACTCAGCCCATCCGTATGAGTTAAGGGACGCCGTCCTGACGTCGAGCGAATTTCACTAACGCACAATAGCACAAACACAAGGATATTATTATCTGACCAGTCCATTGAGACATACCGTGGAGAGCCCGCTTTTCTGTCGATTGGAGAGGGCAACAGGAATGTTGAAGGATGCAGGCATATTACGACCTTAAATGACTTCAGCTGTCCCACATGATTAAATGGATACATCCGCTGGTATCTACGTAGCGGCAGTAGGAATGACTATTTTCACCTGTGAAGAGTAAACATACGTTTTTCTCGCGGTTTCTCTACTTAAACGATCTCCATAGATTAGCTACCCAGTGTAACCCCATATAGCACGAAATGACGACAGAGAGCACATAATTAATAAGAGTCAATGGCAAAAAAGACCAATTGATATGCCTTCGTTTTCTTTTAAGTCTATATGCCTATTATTGAGAAGGTTTGATGTTTAACTAAAGTGCGTTAACAGCTATAAAACTGAGTAGCACAGTAAGTCTGTCAAGAGTTTAGAACGTCCTCTGGATGGCAAGGCCCGTCATACCAGGGCCCTTCAAAAGGCTCTAACATGAGGGGCCTAAGCACGTAGCCTAAATGAGGACTACTTCGCTCTACCAGAGGTTGCTGCGGTTTGAAAATATAGAATTCTATTTATGAACACGGGACGTAAATGAAGAAGGACCTGGTGGTTTCGGTGGTCTATGCTTTGCACACACTGCTATGCGTCCTTAAAGCTCTCAGGTCCTTAGAGTGAGCATTTGTGCAAATAAAACGAGCGATGCCTCGCAAGCAGGGTAAATGATCTGATGCCCTATCGTTAGTGGATCATGGTCGAATGTTGCCAATATCACCTAAAATGTGCTGAGACCTACGCTGAAGTAAGAAAAAAGCCTACTGATCTAAAGCGTATCAGCTAAGAAAATCACCTATAATTCTAAATGATTCAGTCGTTGCCTGATAAGCATTTAGGAAACTTAACAGTTCAGAGAGCATTCATCAGCTCAGGATAGTTGTCCTGATTAATGTAACGGTGCATGTTCGTCGCGACATCCTACTGGGGTATAACTAGTCGAATTGTCTTTTCTAGAGAAACGCGAACTGTTTTAGAAAATATGAATATTAGACACATAAAATATAGATGAACCATCACTATCAATTAACACTTTGATATAATTCAGTAATGCTTTTTCTTTAATTATATAAAATAGCAAGAAGACATTCCGTTTCAGCTTGTTCGTTGAATGGTTTCAATATCACACAGTACTTTTATAGTGGTTGACAGTGTGTCTCTCTATTAATATATATGATGGCATTTCATAATTAAACAGACATAACTGCAGTGTACTTTTGTGAGCTTACAGTGAATATGGTCTATCTTCAGTTAACGTTTTACATAATTACCGCTACTTCACCACCTTCACTGCTGTTAGCGTCTCGTAAGCAAGATGCCCTCCAGGCTCTTATGCATTCGAGAATCTCTTTTGCTTTTCGTCTAGCATATATCTATAGTTTACTGGTTAGTGAGTTTCATATCGGGCAAAGCTGCGGACAACAGGGTGAATAAGGCAATTTTGCCAACCCAGAAACCTGTTCAGACCTTCAGAACAACCCGCGGCCGTGGTAAGCAGACTTGTGTACTACATTTCCATTTTTGCTATATTATTATTATCCGGCATTTGTAACTCTTCGTTCTTTGAAGCTACGACCACTTTACTGGTTAAGTAATAGTAAGGCAAATCTCGTTCAATCCTATTCATTAAGATCTCAAAAATATTTCTTCTATTTACACCGTCAAAAACCCCTAAGATCGCTTTATTTTTCGTACAGCACATAGGATAGCTATTGTAAATCGCGTCATGCGATCCTTGGGGTCCTGTTTCAGGGGTTAAGTGCAATGAAAGTGCAGTGGCCACCTTTTTTTCGTTTCGAAAGAATAGCTTACCTATTTTTTTTCACATTGACTGTTAGTGGGCGGTGGTTAGATGATACCAGGAGGGTGTCCAAACATTCTTGACATATCTGCTGTTCCATGGTACCAGATACCGCCACTGCCCTGTCATTTAGTTCTCAAGAAGCGCACCTGGCTTCAGAGGAATTCAGAAGCGCCTTACGAAGTCGTTCCCTGACTTTCTGCTTCCATCGTTAGCGCTCTTCTACAAAATATTACCGTTGAGTCATTTCGCCAGACGAGTATTTCGAAACGATGCATTTGCCACTCGTTATATTGTTTAATTAGTTTGTTTCCCAACACGAAGACGCAAGTTAACTTGTCCTGTTAAAGGGCTTTAAGATGCCATATCAAAGGGGATCATGACCATCGGTAGTAAAAAAAATTCATATACTTGTTGTACAGCGGAAACGCTAATAATAGCTTTTATAGCAGGCCGACAAATATGGACAGGTCGGTTTGCTCAGGCTGCAGATTAGTTTGGTTATTATTTCTTTACCACCGTGCTATCAGAAGGGTGGATAACTGAAAAAAAAAGTGCTCCGTTGAATGATCTTATTATAAAACGGATAGCACGGTATATTCAATAGGTGAAGTGCTGAACACACGTCCAGCGGTTTGATGAACTTTAGAAGACTATATGCTATAATGAGAAATATACTATGCGTATACCTAATAACTGTCGTTTAGTTTTTCATCGTACGTGTTGGCAAACAGTTGATAGGACGATTTTTCATAATGGGTACGAGCAAGCTTATTGTTTTTAGATGATAGAGCGTAATTGTCGAAGTTAGTATAATGTCACGTGGCATTCAACTGTTTCGTTAAAAAAAAATTGTGGTGTATTTCCTACAGCCATTTCCTGGCGTACTCCAATGACTTATCTTCACCGTTTGCTTTACGTTGCATAAAATCGAATAGTGTTATTTTGGCGAAGCGCAAAAAAGCAGGAGTAATGCTAAAGCAAAGCTCGCGTACCCCGAAGAAGCACTACCGAGGATTCGTATTTTATGTAAAACGAACAAACTAGTTCTCGTATCCGTAAAGAACGCCTCTGACAAACCAATATCAGCAGCATGTGCCATCATCGGCATCAACAACGCGACCATTACGGTACATTGTGCTTGTATGTCTATTACGTGTCAGCACTAACGAGAGTACCTCATTTGTCTTGTAAATGCAAAAACATCCCAGTAACAGACCACAGTTGATTTATTGTTTCTAGACAATTTGAATGCTGTATACATCAACATTTATTTACATCGTTGTTGTCATCACAGGAACAGTTTGCATCGGGTGTACACGGATGCAATATTCGGTGAGTTTGACTATATCTACGAACATAGTCAACCGCTTGTCTAAATAACTTGTAGTTCTATAGTAGTATATAAATACGTTAGAAAAAAGAAACGTCAGACGAACGAAGAACAAAGAAACGAAGGCCAGATCGCTAAGCTTCATATAATAGCAAACTAAATGTCATTACACTCAATCAATGCAGTTACAACGTACTATAAATTATTATGCCGAAGATACGAATAACGCGGTGAAGAATCAGGGCCAAAGCTTGATTGCATTCGTGTCCTAAAATGCATCACATTTGTATTGTCTATGGGTGTTATGTGTGCGCGTCTGTTTCATTCAGCGTGTGATAAAATTCAAGCGGTAGTTCCAAATGCCAATGATTATTTAATCGGAAAGCTGCTCGAAAAGTGAGTCCACTTGAGCCAAAACGCGTTCTTTGCTACTACGCAGCCTATCGAAGGCATTAGGTACGAATACATGCAACACACTGACTGATCTGATCGGCCCGCACTTACATCTCCTTTGTACAAATACTGTTTTGCCAAACATAGCACCGTTTCATTCATTGTCAACTATAACTATAAATACAAATATATAAAGATTCGAAATTTCGTAAGTTCAATAAGCTTCGAAGCCTGTTTGTCTGTCCATGGTAAAAGGCTTAGCGACCGGCAGAGGGGCCTTTCCAATATTTAAGGTACGCGCAGTAATTTAATAGGGATCGTTTCGGATCGACTGGGGTGCATAGGAGAACCCTTTGAATTCGTTGTCCACCATCGAAGCTGACAATGAGACAGACCCATTCGATCGAGCTACGGATTGCGGGACTGGCTCTTTGGTAAACTCGGGGTCGATGTTGTTTAAATCAGCTTTACCACTCTGTAAAGTGGAAACAAAATCACGTACGATTTAGTAGGTTTCGGACCTCGATGTACAATATTAACATATTGTATCCACGCGTCGTTACGCAATGTTAACTAAGAATAACCGAGTTAATTAAGCAGCTTGATTAGGCGCTTTTTACTGCTAACGCTATGAGCCTCCACAGTCAGATATGGGAGTAACGCTTCTAGAATGAATGCAGGAATATTTTCGAAAAATCACTCAGAAACACGAGGTCGAGCTGACTTCACAACGATGACCAATGTTCTAAATAAGGCCTATTTAGACTATTCACAAATTTAATTTTTTTGATCACATCTTCATGAAACGCCTTTGCAATAATCTTAATTGAAAACGCTGCAGGCAGGCAGACGAAGGTTCAAAGGGTCAAACACATATTACGGTCACACACCATAGGGCCTATGTGGGTCTTATTATAGAATAAGTATTGCACTGACCACTGTAGGAATAAAAGGCGGTTTCAAACGACGTCTCTCAAGCTCAGTCCAGTTGATGTCATTGAAGAATGCATGCGCTTTCACTTCGTCACCGTCCTCCTTAGCGCCGAGTCGCTTCTTTTTGTCCTTTTCCAGGAGACCAGTCAAAAGGCTGCGCGCCGTTGACGACACATTGTGCTTGAAGGTGAGCGGTTGATGCAGTATGTTGTCATAAAGTTGCTTATTGTTTCGGCTATAGAAAGGAGGCTGCAGAAGACAAAGGCACAGCAGGAGGGACCGCAAAATATAATTTCTAATAAAAATTTCAGCAACAGACACATGTTTTCATTTTGTAAGCATATCATGTATTATAGAATTTGTTTCACACGCTTCTTCTTCGATTATAACATTAGCTTGAAACCGCTAAGTCGAAAAATCAGCTCTGCATAACTAACCAGTCCAGTGAGCATTTCGTAGATCACCGATCCAAGGCACCACCAGTCGACGGTCTTGTCGTACTGTTCCTTACGAATTACCTCCGGTGCCAAGTACTCTGGCGTTCCACAGAAAGTAGATGTCGTTTCCGATTCCTTAAGACCCTCTTTGCAAAGACCGAAATCTGTCAGGACAATATGACCCGTATTGTCCAGAAGAATATTTTCTGGCTTTAGATCTCTGAAAATTGTTAGAGATGTGTGAAAAGTTGACAAATATAATGAAAACTATGTCGCCTTTAGCTTTAGTAATAATTAGCATAGGTAATTCCTTACTGAGACGGGCGTGTTCCTGATGTACCTTTGCGTTTGCAGCAATTATACAGTTGCTCTATTCATCAAAAATGAACCTGAGCTAAGCTCAATTGACTAACCTGTATATGATGCCCTGTGAGTGTAAGTAGGCAAGGGCACAGGTTATCTCCGCTGCATAGAACTTGGCTCGAGGCTCGTTAAAGTTCCCACTCTTCTGCAGGTGAAAAAACAGTTCGCCACCATTGACAAAGTCAAGTACAAAATAGAGTTTGTCCGACGTCTGGAAAGAGTAATTGAGGCCAACCAAGAACGGGTGGTGCAAAACTTTTACCAGGATGTCCCGTTCCTGCATAATGTGCCTGCTTTCGTTGCGTCGAAGGATGTGTTTCTTGTTTAGAACTTTGACAGCATAGTGCTTTTCGGTGGTGCGATGTTTGGCCAACATCACTTTTCCGTATGACCCACGGCCGATTACCTTCATGAAGTCAAAGTCCTTTGGCTTCACACTAAAATTAAACATGAAGAGGACTATCAGTTCTGGCCTGATTCAGTTAGAGACAAATAACCCGGCATTCAATAGTATGCTTAATCAAACCAAGTAAAAGTATACAAATTCATCATTTATTCATGCATAATAATCTGTATCGATTGAACTTACTGTTGCTTCTCAGTCCTGCCCAGATTTACGACCTCGCCCGAAGAGGTGGGTGACTCGCGATCTTCCTCAGAAGAGGTGAACGACGATCCAGGCGCGGTATCGTTTAGTTTTTCCGATTGCCTGGAAGCATTGTTGTCCGGTCGGCTCTCGAGGAGACGTTCGTCAGTCAGTTCTGTCTGAAGAAATCCAGCCACATGTTTATCGCCGCGCAGAATCTCACATTCAAGGAGTGCGTTCAAGAACTGCTGTAGGCCTACAAATGAATTAATTGACAAAGTCAGACTTAGTGAAGTAGAATCAAACTCTGTCCGAATTCGGGGGGATTTGCGATTAAATTAAATGGTTGCATAATATTTGCTCTTAGCGATGTCTGTGAGTTGCCCCCTAAGGGCAATCATGCTTTAGTTTGGAATTGTTAGAGGTTATTATTAATTAAAAAAACACTGTTTCCTTGCCAGACTTTGCGGACTAAGACAAGCAGACCTTTCTTTCCTACTAAATTAGATAGTCGGAGTGTCGATTGGCAACCCGTAGCGGCGGTTACCGCTGGGTTTGGTCCCCTTATTCTCTCAAGAGCCTCGTAACTATGTGCAGTGATCCTGTACTAGCCATGACTCTGTGACGTTACTGTTATTTTGTATTTATACATTCCGTCTAGGTCGATGTCAATCCGAATACAACTCACCGACATTTAAGTAGTAAGCTATCGCAATACAAAGAAAAATATAAAACATCCTCGTATTTTTATACGTATAATATAATAATTGTATAATATCGTTGTTAGCAATTCTTGTAGATCGTAAATTTTGACAATACTTATATAGACTGCGTATTTATTCTGATCCGTGTTGTCCTGGCAGCCAACATAGTAGCTCTGTCGGGACAATTTTGGGCTAGCCACGCAACGATCACGAGTAACGTGTTTCTATTGTTAGTCATGTCGGCTATATATATATATATATATATATATATATATATATATATATATAACGATATTATCTGCTTAGTGATGGTATTTAGCAACGTGAACTCGGTTCCAATTGTTGGTTTTCGTTTTCTGGTTCTATCCGACACTGGAAGAACTGTCCCTACTTTAGAATTACACTACATACATTTGATGTAACACTAAATCCTTTAAGTGTGTCCGTGGATATAAATCTATGGCGGGTACAAAAAAACATCAACCCGAAGCACTTTAATCCTATTTCTTCAAGATATGCGGATCTAGAGATCGCCTTAAACAGATTGCATCGGGTTTAAGTCCACCGCGAAGATTTGAACGTTCATGCGTCTGTTCAACTCTTCAAAATCGATTCGTCTTACGTTCACTAACTGATGCCGGCTACGCAATAAATGTTCAATGTTAAAAGGTACCTTCCATTTCTAAATGAATAATTATTAAGAAAACACCAATGTGTCGTAGATTATCTCTTTTCTTCCAAGTGTACCAGTAAATAATATTTATTTGGATAAACTCTAAAGCGAAATTCATGTGCTAGATTGATGGAACCACATCTCTCCTAGTCTCCTAGGGAACATCGGCAGTTCTAGACGAAATTCTCCTGAAATTATGATTTTGAGGGAGAGAAGCTAATTAAATCAATATCGGGTGTCTGAAACAAAGCCTACCTTTAGATCGTTTCGATACAAATTCCTCCGAACGATTGTTGAAGAGTGTCTTGGAAGGTAGCTTTGGTACCAGGTCCTTCGGGTAAAGTTTTTTGAGTGTATCACTGAGTGCCATAAATTCCTGGAAGCGACGATGAACGTACCACGTTTGGCCATACGACTCAACAGCAATCCGATACATCTACAAGTTTTAACGAAAAAAAAAAAGCTATGAGCATATGTTAAGTCTTTCTAGGATCTGAGATGATTATCTCGTTGAAAGCGCACAACTCCAGTAATGTGAGCTATGCTAAGATTGCTTCGCCCGTTAATAGTTCTAACACTAATTGTCCTCGAGTACGCTTCTTGAGCACAATTTATAACGTAACGGCGCAATCCTACTCGAGTCGTTACCTACGCTTTCATTAATATAAAAGCGATTCATATCTTACTTGCTAATGTTCACCTTCACAACACAGATACTGCCCCATGGAACGCTCGAAGCGTCATGAGTTCCTCCGACAATGTAGCAGCTTACATTTACGGCGAGGTAGTACATACGATTCTATTTTCAGCATCTCGTACCGTTAGGACTTCTATAGGAGTACTTTGCCTAATGCCAGTTCACCTACACCGAAACTGCCTCTACAACATGTGGAACGTTTGCGGTTGTTACCCATATCAGGTAAGATCATTAACAGCAAAGGGCCAGCTCTGAGTCAACTACCTTATCACACAGTCTAATTCCTGCATAATCTTCAAACTGCGCCTGAACACTACCAGCGCTGCGAAAATCTCTGCTACTAGCGACCTCTACAATAACTTAGAGCAAGAATATGGGCGCAGCGCTGTTCTATGCTTGATCTAGATTTAGCATGACTACTTCGAGCGGTGTCAACAGGGTGCAAAGAGCATTTAACCGCAAAAATACCAAACACAAAACATCTCTCGATTGAATATATCGGCAGAGATCGAATAATATCTTTAATAAGCGTCTCTATCTGTGTTCGCTAGTTTTGTTCATAATATGTTAAAGTTTGATACAGGTTTTACATACAATGATTCTGTTTTCCACGAGATACGGCGTCTCTATGGTGCACTGCAATCGTCCGCCAGACGATGGTGCGGATGACGCAGGTTTGCAAAGAAAACCGCCATCTTCTAGAAGGGCCTCACCCCTCAATGGGACCATGCCCGTAGTTAGCGCTTGATTGAGACCTGGAACCAGTCAACAAATTATTTAAGAGATTAAATATTGACCTAGTTTTTAGTGTGTGAATCTGTTCTGTGACTAGTGTTTTTGTTCGTGAGCACACATAGCCGTTTATTTATGAACTTCTACGTTGATGTGATCGAGCAGCACATAGCCGTATCTGACTGGTTGATTTCTTGAGCCATTCGTTGGCTTTAAATCCAGTTGCTTATGCATTATTGTGCATCCAATCCTGATGAAAAGTGCTGCTCTGTCGATGTTCTTCGATCTTGGCCGTCTCTAAACAAAGAATAGTTCGTATCGACATAGCATGGCAACCATTTACCATTCGTTTACAATCAAAACTTCAATTAATGCGAAATCCGAAAATCGAAACTTGTCGATAAAAACGTTGTGCATACTTGCTATTTTTTTTTATTACCAGCCTCGGTCCTGTAAAACCACATGCCGGTCGTTAGAATTGAGATGCTGTACTCGGCACAAATTTACACAGTGGTGACCAACAGTAACGCAACGGTTTTTAACGGGATAAAAAATTGGGTTCCAACGTCAGGAATAAAATTCGCGCAAGAAAAGACGCAATCGGTTCTTTTTTAACTGATGCAGATGCTATTTCGTATATAAAGCGGCACGCATTAACGATGATGCTTCAGTGACAAGGTTCGTATCTGCAGACGGCATGGCGGAAGACGAGTAATTGCGTTTGCAAGCATCAAAGGGTTGACCAGGTGATCGATAGGACATAGCCATCATATATATTGTCTTCGCAGATTTGGCAGAAAGAACTACTATAGCACATTTGAATGCAGTAGCATTATAGAGGTTCACATAGGAATATCCCAATAATTTATTATTAGGACACTGTCAGGAAAAGTGGTCCCGAAAGAAGATTGCTCGAAGCAGTGCGGATGTTGATACTATTTCTCATCTCATACCATGACGACGTCGTGACAATCGCGATGATGAATTGAGAAGCCAGTGCCGACCCATCCGGGTACTACCAAAAACCAAACAGCAGTTGAACACCTCACTTCTTAATGGGTAATCACTCACTCACCTCACACTTTCAAAAGGCCCTGCTGTCTACAAGAAAAAAACAATAATAGCTTGAAAAAAAACAAACAACAGCTGAGCTTTGTAGATAATCTAGTGTAAATTTCCTAACGATTTAGACCGACTTCAGCCGTCTCGAAGGTTCCGTAAACACAGAATGATCACTTGATCGATTCATTCGCTCATCCATAATCACAAACAAGCTTTCACTTTTATATACGCCAGCAGATGTAGCACGTTACTGTGGACGTGTCTTTCCCGTCGTTTTTGTTCTAATTTTAATTTCAGATGGTTTAAAGCCGAAGTAACAGACAATACGCTCTTAGAAAAGCGTACATCTGTATATTAAAATCGAAGAGCCGCGCTCTATTTTAAGTCACCCAAATAATGACAACTGGAAGAACACGTGAGCCTGAGGTAGTTTCAGGCCATTCTAACTAGTATATTTCAGTTTCTTTAAAGCGCAGATATTCTGCGAGAGTTGACGAGTCTACTGCAAATAGGTTTCGATTTAGAAAATTCTATAGTTATCTAAGCATTTTTCCCGATGCTTGTCGAAGACACGAGAGAGCCAGAAGCCGAGACGGGATAGAATAGCGTATACATCCATCACATTATATGTGCTATATTTTGTGAATCTGTAATGGTCAGACCACTGTTTACTTTGGAGGGCCTAATAATAAGCGCGTTGTTGTGTGGTCGATTTTTATAGCGGTCCAAAATGCTTCTGCGACTAGATCTTTTTCACTAGAACAAACATCTTTAAGTTTTTTTCATTTTTCAACTAAACTCTCATTCAGATTTTCAACATCTCACTTCTATTATATAGCTTACAGTTACTCTTAGATAAGGAAGCGACAGGTGTCGCGCAGAGATGCCGCTCACTTTTACTGAAAACTCTATCCTATTACTACCTAGTTTCGTATGGCCTGGTCAGATAAGTCGTAGTGCGCTAATGAAACACCCTCATAAAATGTTCGTGACTCAGTTTCACACCCGTCTGGGGTCATACGATTGTGACGACGCCATAATAGCGATAATACCATTTCTGTGCCTATACATAGGTGTTATACAGATGACCCTCCTATTTCGACGACCTTTTTCAAAGTAAGTGTAAGTAAATAATAGACATCTCAGTACGACTTACTTTTTTGAAGTTTAAGCATGGATACGTTTTCTTCACTATTTTGCTGGTTGTAGTTGTCACCATTAGTAAATCGTTCAATTATTTAAAAACGTTATAATACGAACGCATTTGATTTATTCTATAGTAATAGTCACATATTATGTTAGAACTAGCTCGCACAAAGCACGTGAAGCCCTCCCAGGGCCGATTTTAATTTGACCAACGTAGCTAAGCGTTACAGAAAATAGCAGTTCGATACTGAACCACACTGTAAATAAAGCTAGCATAAATTTCACGATCTTTCTAATGGATAAGTAAGATCAAATCGAGCTGGACACGTACAATCTTCTAACACGGTTAAAAAGCTTTCCTGAAGAATATCCTTCTCTCCATGAAGCGTCAGAATTGCGCACAAGTGTTGGCTGGCGCCGAGCATCATCCTCTGTTCACGTATTCGGCGCTTTTATTCACTGAATAAATGAACATTTGTTTAGATCACAGCAGTAACAGTGGTGCTCTCTCACACGTCACCATAGAAACAACAGAGGGGCGCACACGCCACTGCGACGGAGATGCCCTCCTATCGCCTCTGGATGATGTTAGACTTGTAAGGAAAGTCTTTCATTGGACGACCAGGTTTTTACGGTTATTCGTTGCACTAAATAGATAGGATCCTGAGCACAACAACGACAGGCCAAGCCATCAATGGAGGGAAAGTGTGACAGAGGAGAGGAGCAAAAAACCTACACGGGCCTGACAGCTGCCCTATGAATGAAAATAGCTAACACTACCGTACGAACCAGCAAGGAGCATGAGGCATCTTAAGGTAAGATCGTAACGACAACGACAGGGCAACCATCGAAAAAGGTGGCCAAGATAAACGCGTTTACAGACAATTTCCTGTTGGATGACATTTGATTGTAAGCAGTCCTTCCGTCATCTAAGTTAGAGTACTAACTATTTCAAGTACTTCTGGAAGACCAGTTTGTATGTGGAAAGCCCGCTCTTATTGAGATTCTCCTGATTGCCCTAAAACGTGTTCACCACAAAGACGCCTATTGAGGATAAAGTGAAAATCATCCTCTATGTGTTTATGAAGAGATCGCACTATTCCTAAATGAGACCTTACTTAGACGCATTTAGGCACACGTAGCAATTATGTACACTCAATTCTAAAGTTTCATTTACGACTAGAGCGCTGCACCGGCTAGAATCACAAATACGGTTTTTATGCTTTAGATCTTATGCCAACCAATTACTCTAGCCGATACCATAGTACCCTCGAAACAGTTTAGCCATTCAATGAGGTTTATAATCTGTGAGAAATTTAGTTATTTAAAAGCTTCGAAATACGACGGTTAAAAAATGGTAATAATGAAATTTCTGTACTCACACGTCTGTCCATCCTGTTATTTATTCTAATTACACCGTTTAAGAGAATAGGCTATTTCTAAGACGCACTGATGAAACAAACGGTACACCCTATTAACACATGTTTGTCCTTGAAGGACACTTTTCTATGCGGCGGATTTTCCCTGTATTCGTTATTATTGAATGGTCTGCTTTAAACGGCTTTCTAGTGACAATAGCAAGTGCAGTAACAGTATAGTGGTGCAATAACGTTGCTGAACTCGGCTGGACACAAATATTGCGTAGGTCTATCGGCGCCTAAACTGATGGTCCTTGCGAGCCGCCGTAACTACGAGGAATCTCTAGCAACGAGTAACCCTTTGACTGTGCCAGCAAAGTAAGCCACGTTTATCCAGTAGTGAAAGGGCTAACACGCAAGATCTAACGGAGCGTTGTAGCTCTCACAGGGTTCACAGGCTTGAAAATGACCCCGACTACAGAAATGGTCACGATCGCTGTTACTACAGTGATTGCTAGAATGGCTAGTTTTTATCATTGTCGTTAACCGTAGATTAAAAATTGGCCACAAGGCCTCAATGAGACCCTTCGGGGAGTATCTTTCACGTAAAGTCATTTAAATTGAAATCAGATATAAGCGTTAACTGCAATGTTCCTATAGGGGAATTGTATTGAAAACTTAGAAGAAGGCCAAGCTACGAACATACGACAAAAGCGGATTTCTCTTAGCGGTTTTGCTTTCTACGGATACGTTGGGCCATGTCCGCAATTGAAATTTATGTGCTACAAGTATTCAATTGGTAGAAAATCTTCTTCCTGTCTCTTTATTCCGTTTTTGTTCTTTTATCAATTGTGTATATAGTTCAGTTCCCACAATGCGAACTTCACAGTGAAGATTTGCTGATTAGAAAAATAACTTGAGGTTCATGTCTACAGTAACTGGAGTATCCAATAAATGGATCGAAGAATCACCGGTACACCTTTGCGTGTCTGGGTACGTGGAGGTAGGCGGGGATGGATTAAATATGAAAGGTTGTGGGCGATCAAGAAATCTGAGCACGTTTGTTCCTAGGCGCAAAGGTGGCAGTAAAACCACAATAGCACCCACAATTGCTGCTGAAATGGATACGAGGGCATTCCGTGCATACGAACGACGACAAACCACGACATTCAGCGATGTCATAATGGTGACGAGCGGTGTCGATCTACGATGATCAACCGACAATTGTTATATCTTGTCCCTGAAGGTCGCCACAAGCCTCGTCGTCTGAAACGGATATACTCGCAGAGGCCGTACGTGTTGGCGACAAATGCTATGCACTTGTTTAATGTAACCGCTCGCGATCGCTATGAGCCGATGCTGTCGTACTCAGCAATATAAGCAAAATAGCTGTGACGATTACTCTTTAAGCGACAACACTAGAAAGCGGCCCGAGCTGGTCGTCAAATACGCCTGCGCTCTCAGAAACGGTGAATCTCGACATCGTTTTTTGCCCTGTAGATCAATCCATCTGTCCTCCATTCATCCATATACATGCGACTTAACCTACGACGACGATGATGCAGAGAGATACTAAGTAATCTTTTATTGACCTGTCGATAACAAATATATAGAGTATTGCGCTCGATATCGTTTCATCCGCTTCTGCCTAGATCAATAGAACACTCGTTGAATGAGCATTAATAATGAATTGTAAATCTCTTCGTTGAACCATGTTGTCTAGGAACAAGGTCTGCACTCTGATCGATTACTCGGGAATACCAAACTGGACTGTAGTTAGGGTCAGTTACGTGAGTCATGGGTTATTAATGCGATTGATATGACTGGTCTTCATTAAATGTTGGAGCTAGATCCTTGCTGGTAAACACCTGCCAAATGTGTTTAAAATAGGCATGATGGACACGATATAAGTAACTAGTGTCATGTGCATGTACACAGAGATATAAGCACAAACATATAGGTAAAAGAAAGCAAAATGTTGGGAATATGAATCTTGGCAGGTTACACTCCATCTATCGAATGGTAATGGATTAAAGTGTATTGGAAAAGAGTAGAGGATATCTCCTCATGGATTTTTGTCTCGGTTCGGATGGTGACGACACATGTTTTCTATCGAGCTTGTGCTCAGATACCACTTTAGGTTGCAGGGGCCAGTTACGGCAAACAGTGTCGAATGAGAGAAAAATCTGACTACACCTACGCCCTGTTCACAGTCACCTTTAAATATATGTATATATGATGCATCACATAATCAGTAACGGTGTCTTAACTAAAGCCTTTGGCGACGGCGGCTTATTCGGAAATAAAATGAGAAGGCAATCAAGCTGGAAAGCTGTCCTGAGTGTGGGCGGGCAACACTTCATGCCGTCGTAACGCTATTATCCAACCTGCAAGTTTGACCGCGCCAAGTCCGTTTTGCCGACCGAACGTAGCGGAAAAATCTCCGAAGCAGTGTGGATACTGCCAAGATAATTAATCGGTCAGATAATAGTGGCCTTAATCAGTCATTTTTTATACATGCTGCATATTTTCCGTCTTTTTATTGCTTGCCTGTGTACTATTTTTAGCTGAGAACTCAAGCTGAACGTATATGGAAGACATTATGGTAGGGGTTACAAACGAAGCTGAACGTCATTGGTACATCATCAGGTGAAAAGCAAACATGTAAACAGAATAGATACAGAAAACGTTTCTCCTTGGCACAAATCGCCTTTGCCAATAAAAGAAGAAATGCATAATGGTTTAAAGCTAACTGGGAAATTTAATGGTGATACTCATGGTACTGGCGTCTGTCAGCGATGACTCGCCTTTCACGCTATAGCTACAATTCGTACCAAGACATTATCTACTGAGAGGATGGCTTAAACAAAGGAGCTTCAATTAACCTGAATTAAATCAATATTACTCTGTTCCGACAGCGGAAACACATTTTTTTTTTAAGCATATTATTGTAGTAGTAAATAGTACTGAAAAATTACGTCAGACGGTGTCAAAGCTATAGTGACACTCTCTGTGTATGTGCTAGATAAATTAGAGGTATTATAATAAAGACGTTAATATTCTATCACGCTATCATATATGCGTATAATAAATAATTACAAGAAGTATTCTTACGATGCGATATATTATTATTAGAGCGACAAAAATAATACCAATAACTGAGGTTACGGCAGACTTTTTTTTCTATTGAGTTTATGAACCGTCGAAACAAAAAAAAACGACAGGGTTGGATAGAGACGCTTTCAGACCATTTGTTTGTTACACGAATCCACATCGCAGCATACGGCGTCCGTGTCTGTTAACAGGGATGCGGCGGAACTCTAACTAATCGTTAGAAATTTGTGTCTCTAAAGGCCGACGTACCTCTGATGGGCTCTTGATAGATGGGTTTTAATAGATAGCAGTCAGTTTATATGGTTAAATGGAAATTCATAGAATGTTAGGTGATATATGGCCTGAGATGCTATGCGCACGCGTATCGGTATAGGAATTCAACAAGTGGCTTGTATCTTAATAATCTTTTTTATCTCTGTCAACTCGAATGTTAGGATAATGGGGATTACCGTTTTCAGAGTCTGGCTGGCGGCGATGCACAGGAATCTTATTAGCTAATCCGAATTTCCTGCGCACAACTGACAGGGATTGAATTTAAGACATTTCTGCTCTTATCAACTAACTTAACACCTTACCGTAAAAGAACTTGTATATTTATCGTCGGTTACTAGAATAATAAAGCCACAATTGTTAAATTATTAAATAGTAATATCTTACGTTGTGGAATATTGTTTGCTGAGCTCTCAGGCAATAAGAATGGCCTATAGAAATTTTTACTTGTTTTCGAATTTACATTGGATACAATTGGGCTCTACGTCGGCTGTGCAGTCGTGAAAACTATCCGTTGAGGAGAGGGAATAAGACTTTTTGGAGTAAATCACCCTCATATACCGAAGATTTCCAGGCTAGCAAAAGGCCTGTGTTCGCCTTCAGCGGCTCACTCACTCAGTTAATTGAGATAGTTAACTGGCAGGTACTGCTTTAACGATGTTCAGCCTGATACAGTAAAGAATTTATTTTGCAGTATATGAATGTATTCACAAAAACAGCATGCTTCCTTCGAGGGGTTTTTTACTCACGCATTCAATGCGATTAGAGTCCTTGGGTGTCGTTCGAAAAGATACGCCATTCGCGATAATCGCATAGACCTTGCACGCCATTTTTTAGTACTGTCTAGGGAAACCTAGGACAGGACAAAGTTACAGTAAGCAAGCAAGCAAGCCAACAAAGGAAACAGCGAGAATTCTGACCCGTCGTAGGCATCAGCACGTTTGCGGCTAGCGTCGACTTGGGCTATGTGTGTTATTAGTCGACGGGGAGTAAAAACGAAATGTTACTTACGGAATAAGTCGGAAAACTTCATTTTCGTGGTCCGGTGTGTATGGTGGATCCGCCTAGTAAATACGATCTACAGTTGATGAGAGATAAGGCAGCTTAACCGGTACGTTGTGAAAAGGAGATTCACAAAATTTTACAAGAAACACGCGACATCGTAGCACTCTGTGATCCACAAGTAAACTTCTGATTAAGGAGAGAACGCACCAGTTGGGACCAATTCAAGGTAACGATGATAGCAAGATTCGATAGTCAGGCGACAATTTTGACAGGTTGGGGGCGCGCGAGTCGCAGTTAGCACAAATTCGTCTGTTCGCTACAGCAATTAAGTTAGCAGCTGTAAAAACAACTGTAATGGAACGCTCTCCGACCGGACTGAGCAGTAAGTTAAGCCAAACGTAGTAAAGGAGACCTCCCTTCTCTGTGATGTCTCCTGAGGTAGCTCCCAGTCTGTGTAGCGTTTCGGGCAAAAGAACGGGCAACGAAAAAGTATTCGTTCGTTTTTTTCTGCTTTACGGACACCACCAACAAATCCTATTTATGCAAGCCTATCTTGCCAGCCAGTGAACACCTAATTTTTGGCTCCTTTTGTGTCTGGATTAAATCAAGTGAAACTGCAACAAGGTTCTCCTCGACGCACGGCCGTATATCATGATATGCCGTCGTCGTTACTCACGATACCCGTTTTTCTCCTCACCAGCGGTCGCTGCTGAGCGGGTTCGTTCCGTGGTATTTGTTCATCATTTGCCGCCTCTTCCTCATTGCCATCATCATTAACGGCAGCAGCAGCAGCAGCATCGTTTCTCCTTTCCCCGTCGACCTCTTCCTCTCTGCGGTCTCCTGCTTTAAGACGACGACGACGACGACGCGCTCCGTTCCTTGCTTCAGTAGTTGATTTGCTCCGCTACACCACAGAATGACACAAGGGAAATAGCAAGAAGGACCAGAGTCGTGTGGTAGGTGTCATGCTAACACACAACAAAAATAGATGATACCAACATCTATGTGCGTGAATGTATTTGTATTGTTACGCCCATCGTTCGTTGATGATCAAATGGATGACTCGAGGTTCCACGGTAGATCTCCATGGCGTCGCTCGGCAACACCACTCGACGACGAAATTACCGACAAAGTTTCTTTTCCGTCCGACAAGCGACGGTTATTACTTGAGCAACAGTAAACAAAAATCGTATAGTAGCGTAGTTGGTATGTCGTCATTCGGTCGATTTGCAGGTAACTTGTGACGCCTAACTTCCGCTATAGAGCTAATCTAAAAACCTTTCCATTATCGTAAATAGAAGCAGATCTATCTCGCAAACAGAACGCATTGTTAAAATCTGATTGCTGAAATTCAGATTATTACTTCATTTTTGCTAATAATTTCTCTGGTTGCGGAGCGAAACCCTTGCGGCTTTCTCTCGCAAAAGGCTCTGCAAAATGAAAGGTTATTTATGTTTCGATAATTTCCATCAAACACATCCGTTCAGCTAAACAGCCATTGACTTGAACCAGCGAATCAGTCGGTAGCTCTAACTGGTCAGAATTGTTAACTTCCCCTTCCTACTTTGTATGGCTGGTCAAACATCACGACTGTCCGCTTTTTCTACGGCTATATGTGTAGCAAATCTCTGTGACTGAGAACAAACGTTTGGTGATCAATGAAGTAGTAGGATACAACGGTCTGCCAGAATCTATCGATTTCCACGAACTAGCTTTTGGTTATGATACGGTGCGGAGATTTGTAGGAGGGCATTATAATGTTCAACGTTGAACTTTGAACCCCACTTTTTTAGTAGATCCTCTGTTTTTCATGATCCATAAGCACAGTCGTAGCACTACTTAATGTCTTTTGCAGCTTTAATCTGATTTCCTTGAGAGACCTATGTGGGACAACTTCCTACATTGTGTCACTTTTCAGCTGTGTGCGAACGCTTAAAGGATAGTGTTCCCAGTTGAATTAAAGCTGTGAAAAGTCACCTTTCTAAAGCATGTCGACATATGGATTATACTGCGATAACCTGCAATGATTTCATGAAGACGCTTTGAAATGACGCTTCTTCATTTTGGGTGCGTAAACGTTACCTGTTTGCACTGTGCTGGCCAAAAATCGAATATAGATGATGCTAAATAAATGGAACCTTGCCTTTTACACGTCAACGCTTTTAGATATATATATATATATATATATATATATTGGATCAAAGTTTAGAGCTAATCCTAGCGATTGGTACGTTCGTATATCATCATCATGCTCTACAATACAGTAAGCTAGTAGATGTATGCCCATGCCCTCTGTAGGCTTTTGCTTGCAAGAAAAGGAGCTTTACCTCTGCTACCAGCGCACTAAAGTGTGACCATTTAACTCATCGTGTTGTTACGTTCGAATGCTCAAGTATAGAAAAAGGACACTTGAATACATTATCTCGAGATGCACTCAGCAATATTAAAACTATTTGGCACCATTCTTGGCATACAGGTATACAATTTAGATGTTCTCGTTGTGCTAGGACGCAGTCTAGGTCTCAACAAGGTTCACTGGTTATAAAGATACCGACCATGAACATATTTAGGCCAAAACAACTTTTTTCGAATTGGATGAAATATTAATTGGGGCTATTTTGCAAGCAACAACGACTGCTTCGAGCAGCGTTGGTCTCCACCGAAGCTTCAGTTCAAACGATCAGCGGCGGCATCGGTAGGAAGACAGTGTCAAACGGTACTGACGGTAATATGCGCCTCAGCTGGATGAATGCGAGTAGTTTGTATTTACTTGAAAAGCACAAAAGGTGACTTGACCTTGGAACAAGGTTCCAATTCAAAGATCCTTATCCAGATTGATTCGTCTGCACGATCACTAACGTGGTCCTACCCGTGGCAGGAACAGTGGCAAGCTATATATGGTTTGTCAAATACAACCGAGTCGACATTTTGGCAGCTGTGAGGCTTGTCGTAGACTTCCGTAGAGAAACGGCCTTACTGCTTATATTTGTCGTTTACACTAAATCCTGCGTTAACTAGTTTCAGAGTCTACCAATAATAGCAACAAATTGCCCATCTAGAGTTCCTGTTTTGACAATGTTTTTGCACCAGAAAATCAAACAGGGGGTTGTGAGTGGAACCCCAATGAAATACATCAATTTACACACTCGATGTGAAGATCCGCTCTAATTTCCGACAAACTTGGAACTCATACAGTTATCGTAACTTCAGCAAAATGTTTCCTGCCTGAAAATGTCCTGTGTTTACGTAGTTGTTTTCTATTAATCTGCTATATGTTATGGTTAAGTGTGGTTTCGCTTGACGAGCCGTATATTTCCGTTTACGATACCTTTTGAACCTACTGATTGATTTTTTGAGTCATTTATGCATTAGGATTACGAGAATCATCTATCCCTGCAAGTTCAGTTTGAACGCAGGACATAAAATAATGAACTAGGATAAACTGCGAGAGAACTGCGCCGCGTCGGTATGTTGATTCCTTCACCACATTTACGATGTACGCGTCGGAAGTCTGATTATCTAACCAGATTCGCGAAGTTCTAATGCGCCGTCGCAAACGACCGAAATATTTAGTGTGTACCATTTCATAGTTTCGCATAATTACTCTGTTCGGTACTTCGGTTTTGCTACTATGAGCCTTGTCAGTCCGCTGCTGGCCGTTCGTCGTTTCGGTCCTAGAAATGTTGTCAGACCGATCGTTTCTCTCCTGCTATCAGCTTCAAGAGGCTCTGGCAGTTATGAAGTAGAACAAACGTTATTTAACTTGAGCGTCCATTTATTTATCGATTTATTCACAATGCTCTACGGTTTAAAAACATCCGCTGCGCACGTTATCATAGGATAGTACACATTTTCCCGTATAGCAGGCTGTCTTCTCAAGTGGTTGGAAAAGAGCTGACTAAATAAACGTGTATCAAAACGATCCAACACTTGCATGGAGGGTGTTAAATAGAAGTATTTCATGCTACGGATCTAGTGCACTTTGAACCGATCAGTCAATCTCTCCGCTTGCCCAACGAACACTAATCAGCGATCTGCGGGAGCGCTACTTGATGAAGAGTAGAGACCAGCCTATTAACCGGACTGTTCGAATATTTCTCCAAGTGCCAGCGAGTGCGCGCTTCGATAGTAGCTTGAGTTCATGAGTGCATCTTCATAGCTGGGCTAACAACAGCATCGAAGAATAAGTTGGAATGGGCCCATTTCGATATTTGTCAAATGATGACAAATGCTAAGATTCTTTTTCCCCGCCGAATCACCGAGTAGCAACGGTGGCTAGGCAAAAAAGCACCTCCTAGAGGAATGAACAAGAAGCAATCGAAATGGATAAATCGATCTATTATGGACCGACGGCGGACTGGGACAGCCCGAATAGGACATTATAAGCATACTCTTCAAACTTCATTCGGGTTGCTACAGTCAGCGAACAAATCGATGGTCATCTATCTCGTCGTTCACCAGTGCAGTCGGTAGGTCACCTGTTCGAATAAAGCCACAGATAAGGAAGTAGGACCGTGTGCTATGAGAGCCATAATCAACACCTCACTCTAATTACTAATTAGATTAAAGAGAAACGGTCCAAACGACTCGAATCGCTGCTTCAAGTTATTCTAATAAAGCAAACACTTCATCATTTTTGGTGGTCGAAAAATTGTTATTTGTTACCGTACGCTCATCAGAACTCAAAGGCGCAGCGGGGCGAGCGATACTGGTCGGCTGATTTGGCTATCTGAACGATTGTGATGTACCGGTGATGGCTCGATCCTTCCGGTTTCGTGGCACATGGCAACTCACCATCATCATCATCATTCTAACTTTATAAGATATCACTAACCATAGCAACTAAATTGCTGGGTAGGCACTAAGTTTCCTAACACCCATACAGCTTTCCTTACATATAAGGAATAAGTTGAATATATATATATATATATTCAACACTGTGACTCGTTTAAAAATGTTTTACAGCCAAAGCTCAATTTAAAAATACACTAATTCAATTAACGTTTGACTGAGTCGAAAAGAATGAACAGAGGGTTAGTCGTAGGAAGTGTGGAAATGTTTCTCTTCAAAGCTGCGAGATAAATATAGTACTTGCTATATATACACTATGATCAGCCAAGGCGGCTTTAGATATGTTAGCGCTTCGTGATATATAGGTGGTATGTAGTGCATAGACATCTACGCATGTTTGGGGTCTAATCGGTTACTTGTATCTACTGCCAGTGCGTATACGGCACGTGACGAAGTCCATTCAAAACTGACCGGTGCTAGTTGTTTCCTAAAGCGGATTTTTTCAGTTTCCGGAGGCTAAGACGTACGTTCAAAAAGTGGCCGTGGATTGATGTTTCTCCACTCTATTTCGCCGTTGTAGGTTGGCCTCACACGTTTACGTTCACGATAGATTAGAAAGTAAATCGCCTAGTGCGAGATGATCTTGAGAACTTCCGTTGACGCAAAACAGTGCTCAGTTGAACTTAGCTAGGCCAATCGTTGTGCTTTAGACCTACAACACCTAAGCCACAACTAAGATCAAGTTGTGACCAACCTTTGCATTTCAATGCTGTGGGTAAATTGATTTCGTTATGTACAGTTCCTCACGGAAGTACTAAAAATGAAGTATGTAATTGATGCTAGATGACTAGGAACAAAAAATAACGTTATTCCTTATGCAGCT